GGAAGGCTCCACTCGGCGGCACTTTGCCAGGCCAGCTGGCTGGTGCACCTTTCACTTCGAAGAGAATGATGAAAAGGCCCATCTCTCCCAGAGGCCTGCACGTGGGGCATTGGGAGCACGGGAAGAAAACCCAGTGGGTTAGGGAAATGGGTATGACCAGGCAGAGCCGTGGGCCGAGTGTCCCCAGGAGCGTGGGGATTCTGGAGGTGGACATGCAAGCCTTGGATGCAGTTTGCCTGCTCCACAGTTCTGTCTTTCACCCCTCCCTGTCCTCATCCCGAAGGTCAGCGTTGTTTGAGATGCTAGAGATTGTCTCCACAGTAAATACAGATGACTCCTGAAGCCCAGGATGGAAGAGTTTGCTGAAGCGTTGCTATTATGATGAGCACTGTGTACCTCTGAGGGCGTGTCTGCGCACTGGGCGGTGGGAAGGCGGCCCCTGGGTGATGTTTGAAAAGGGTGATGATGGAGAAGCAGGAAGACAGCAATGGCGGCGGCGGCGGCAGCAGCAGCAGCAGCAGCAGCAGTGAGCCCATCACTGTTCTTGCTTGTTAGGGACCAGGTTCCATCTGTAGTTTTTCCATTAACCTCAAGCTTCACGAAGTTGACTTTGGAGCAATAGAACCTCCTTATAAATCCTTCATCTACACTAAGCACTTAGTGCACGTTTATTAATTGAATGAATCAAAATCTAAATCCTCGTAGTTGGGAGTGTGTAAGCTTGCATCATGAGTGTGGCATTTAATGAGATCTTTGAGCCTCAACAGTTTGGGAAAGTCACCACCAGTCAGCCCAGCTGTCCTCCCATTCCATTAGCATCGGAACCAATACGACACCCCATTGCACCTCACACCGAATCTGAAATTGCAGAACAGCAGACCCGAGAGCTCCTTTTGTTCAACCCCTAATTTTTAGACAATGAGACGGAGGTACAGTTGTAATCCCTTTGGAAACATGTTAACCCAGATTTTCCTCATGACTATAATGAATAGGTGCTGATCTTCATTAATGACCCAAGGCTGGGGCTTAGGGATTAGTTTGCACAATCCCATCTACGATGGCGTATTTGTGACTCTGGCAGCCTCCCAACACTCCCTTTGGCGGACCCTCCCAACTTTTGAATTTCTGTGGCCAAACCAATATGTCTAGGAGGGTAGCATTGCAAGAGTCTGTATAAAAAGGCCCTAAAAAGATAAAATCTATTTGTAAAAAGAAAATACAAGGATGCACAAAATGTTTACACCTCTTGCCCAGAGCTGAGTAAGCACTAGGAGGCGCTGCCTGTCACCATGTTTTTATCTCTGTCATCTCCAGAGACAGGCAGAGAGGCATGCTGGGCTTGCGAAAAATAGAGGGTTGCAGGATGACAGGTGGGAGGGTCACAGACACTTTGCTTTCTTGCCCGGCTGCGTCCAGGAGCTACCGTCTGTCTGCTTGTGGGGAGCAGGGCCAATAAAACGGCACTGGTTCGATTAAGGCAGCACAAAGTACATCAAACAAAGTGGAGTCACTTATGTCCACTAAGATGGCTGTCGGTCAGCCATGACACTTTGGTTCAAGAGGAAAGCTACCTGAGTCAGAGTAAACACGTCTGGCAAGGAGGCACACCTCAAATATCTGCACACGTGATCAGAACAGCCGTGTCTGGAGAGCGGGACCACCCACAGACAGGCTCCTGGGGAAATTCCACACTTGGCATCAGGGGTGACAAGACACTTATCAAAAAGACCCAGACAGGCAGAATACACCACTCTCAAGGTATGACTGAGGCAGGCTCCAGACCACTGCGGAGACCGCCGAGCCTCACCCCCCAGAGTGCTGCCCACGCCACGCTGATCTCCCTGGGTGTGGCGTGGGCAGCACTGCCCTGCGGACTGAGGACTTCGCCTGCCCTGCTGCCCACCCGGCTCCGGAGACCCTTCCTTGTAGAGATGCTGATGACTCCCTCGCCCACCGTGCTGTCTCCTGGACCTGCAGACCAAGACTCTGGGACTGGAGTTCCGTATCCCCCATTGATTGCTCTGTGTGTGTGTGTGTGTGTGTGTGTGTGTGTGTGTGTGTGTGTGTGATATTCTCTTAGACTGTCAGAGTATGAGTAGGACATTAATGTATGTCAATGCTCTACTGTGAGTGACCCTGCATTCAACAAAAGCTGAGTGAACAGCACAGTTACTGTGTGTGACTCTTGTCTACTCGCTGGTGCCGGGCTGCTCCGCGGGCAGCGAGCCGAGCAGTTGCCCGGCTGACTTATGGGAACGACTGTATCACAAACACGTGCTCCTGACCCAGCTCTGTCTTTTCCCTCCTCTCACCAGGTCCCCCTCCCTCAACTTTCAAATAAATCGCCGTGCCAGTAAGCTCCCATCCTTCTGTTTGGGTACTCACACCGATGCCTGGTGCAGGGTGTTTCTAAAGCACAATGTGCCCGCCCAGCACCCCGGGACACAGACGGTGGTGGGGTGACTGCTGTCCCAGAAACCCCCCTGGTAGAAGGGACGACCAGCAGGGCACTCGCCAGGGGAACACGCCGCACGGATGACCTCCACGTGCACCCTTTTATTTGCATCTAATCCTGTGTGCTAGGATAACAGGCAAATGAAGTTCTTGAGGCTTGTCTTCTGAGTTTCCCAATGGCACATCCTTTGTAAGCCGCTGCCGGGAGCTGCCGGAGAAACACAATGGCCGGATACAGAGAGTTGCGTCAGGGGAGAGAGCTACAGGGAAAGGCATGAGGAAGGTAGGCTGCAACTTGTCCTCGGTGTTCCCTTAGGAAAACTCAGAAGACGAGGGGTGTCACACCCTGTCCCCACCCCAGGGGGAGAGGCTTGTTGAAGGACATCCAAAACCTGACTTGAAAGAAAGACGGTCCAAGTTGTGCAAAGTCGTGATTTACGTTACAGGAGTCTTGGAGAGTGCTGATCTTGCATTCCCCTCTCTCTCCGGAGAGAGGGTTTGTTCCCAGGCTCCGGGAGAGGAAAGGAGGTCGGGGGATCACTGTGGGGAGGCCGCCCCGCCCCCCTGCACTGCTGTAGCATTGTTCTGGCTGTGTGCGACATGACCTAGTCAAGCATGAAAACGTTCATACGTTCTATCCATTAACTCAGCACCTAGGTAACATTCAGATAACATTCAGGTAACATTCCTGACATTCAGATAAAAAAACTAAACACAAAGATTTTTAATAACACTATTATATAAATGGGAAACCACCTGAATGCTTAATTAATAAGGGAATAGATGAGTAATTTATGGCACATTCACATAGCCATTAAAAGTAATTTCTTTCTTTCTTTCTTTCTTTTTTATTTATTTATTTTTAGAGAGGGAAGGGAGGGAGATAGAGAGAGAGAGAAACATCAATGTGCGGTTGCTGGGGGTCATGGCCTGCAACCCAGGCTTGTACCCTGACTGGGAATTGAACCTGGGACACTTTGGTTCGCAGCCCGCACTGAATCCACTGAGCTACACCAGCCAGGGCAAAAGTAATTCTTTTTAAAAAATTACTTTATTGTTGTTCAGCTAATAGTTGTTTGCATTTTCTCCCTACCACTCCCCCGCCAACCCCAGCCAATCCCACCTCCCTCCCTTGCTTCCACCCTCCCCCTTGGTTTTGTCCATGTGTCCTTTATAGTTGTTCCTGGAAACCCTGCTCCCCATTACCCCCTCCCCCCTCCCCTCTGGTTACTGTCAGATTGCTCTTCATGTCAATGTCTCTGGTTATTAAACAGAATTTTAAAACATGGAGAAATATTTGGGTTGAAGTATTAGATGAGAAGAAGCAGGACCCAAAATCACAAATGTAGTGTGAGCTCCAGGACGTGAAAAGAGTGTGTAGCAAAAGAGAAAATGGTGAGTTTCGATGGGCTTATAATTATCTTGATTTTTTATTTGTTACTCAATAGTTTTAATTTTCTCAAGTGACATTATTTAAAACGGCCTGCTACCCCAAAGTTCTAACCATGTCCCTATTCAACTCTTGATTGCTTCTACAGTTAATTCTCAGGTTTACTGTTATTCTGTGGGTTAAATCTGACTTACGGAGAATTAATTTCACTGTTGCAAGTTACACGCTGCTTTAAGTTCCTTTAGATTTTCGGACTCTCTGGTTTGTAGGTTAGGAGTTCACGAGTGTCACGTTCCACAGAGCTGTCGGGTTTTCTTTCCTAGGGGGCTACAATCTTCATCTCTGATGGGGTGACAGGCGGCCTGTGCCCTTCAGACCGTGGTCCTCACCCAGGCCTGGCCCAGGGCGCGGTCTCCGCAGGACCTCCAGTGGGCCGTCCCGAAATGACAGAAGGAGGAAGAGACTCTCTATGAAAATCCAAGGCTGCAAAATGAACGAAACGGCCTCCAAGTACCTCAAAAATCCTCCGAGGATGTGCTATTTTTTTTAAACAACAAAACATGAAGCACGTTTGGAAAAGAAGCCAATGCTGTTCCATGATAAGGCGATGCTGTGGGTTTTGCAGGTGAGTGGATTCCTCGGAACTAGCTGAGGGGGAGAGAGGTGGGGGAATGGGGAAACAGGTGGGGCGACAGGTGGGGATAAAGAGAAGGGACCAGGGAGATAGGGGACTCGGGGAGACGGTTTGTTCATTTGTGAGGTTTCGTCTGAGAAGCCAGAAGGAAAATCAGTAACTGGTGGGGACGCGGAGGGAATCGTCCCAGAAGCCGTGGAGCTGCGGGGGCGATTGAGCAAGCGAGCAGCAGGAGCACAGAGACAACAGAGTGCCATACCCGGATTCTTTCTTCATTCTCTCTAAGCCGCACTTTGCCTCACACTTGGCTCCGGCCATAGGGTTTGTCAGCGCCCAATCCATTTGCTGGGAGTGGATTGGGACACGCTATGAAAATAACTCTTCTTGGGTTTTGTGTGTTTCACTTACACACTGTGACTCATGGGGTTTCGTGGTGCTGATGGGGATCTGGAAGCGGTTTAGGGGATCAGGGACAGAGATAGGAGATCAGGGCCTTTCCGGCAGCCCTTTATAAAGGCCTCCTCTGCCCTGCTTTACAAGCAGGCTGCGGGGCAGCGCGTGGAGAGAGGCCGGGCTCCGGCGCTCCGGTCTAAAGGGGAGACACCGCAGGCGTCGAGACAATTAACTGAACACAGACCGAGTCGGTGACCATAAACGTATGTCTTTCCCCGCCACCTTGTAGGTTAATTTTCTGACATATAAAAATCACAGAATTTCTCGTTCAACCCCTATTTTTACCTGTTTCCACAGGCTGTTAGGACTCGGCTGTTCCTTGCTCTGCCTGATACTGAACTGACTTCAGGAAAACACAGTCCGTGGCTGGGAAGAGTCCTCATCAGCTCCCAGGTACGTGCCGGGAGGGGGCAGGCTGCAGCTGGCGGAGGTGCCTCGGGAGGCCGCCGTGCGGGCCCGACGCCCTCGGCGCTGCAGGTCTGCGTGCGCGGGAGCTGGGGTGCTGTGGTCCTGCAGCTCCTCCGCGTCGTGATCGTGAGCGACTGGACTGGCCGAGTCCAGTTTTCTCCTCTGTCAGATTGGGATAATGATGTGTCCCTCCCGGGCTTGTTGGAGGGGCTGGGCGTGATAATGCGCGCGGAAGGGCCTGAATGCAACCGCAATCCCACCATTGTTCACTGCATGGCCAGTGCCTGGCACATAGTAGGTGTTCAACAGTCACCAAATGAACGTTGGGATTATTATTTCACTGCAGTGCTCAAGGGGCTTAGAGTTTTGTCTGGGGTTGAGATCGAACCAAAATGCGTGTGTTTTAATTCATTAAGTGTAATTTAACATTTGTTTTATGACAAAAGTTTTGTGTTTTAAAGGTGTAGACACTTCGTAGGCTGTACGTAGTGTTGCTTCACCATTTAAAGCAAGGATAAGCGAACTTTTCAGTAAAGGGAAAAGGGATTAAGAAGTATAAATACCCAGTTATAAGAGCAGTCACGGGATGCAAAGTACAGTGTAGGGAATATGGTCCATAACATTGCAGTAACTGTGTGTGGTGTCAGATGGGGGCTCGACTTGGTGGAGTGGTCACTTTGTAAGTTATATAAATGTCTCGTCACTATGCTGTACCCCCCAAACTAATACCATATGTCAGCTGTATTGAAAATTAAATTAAAAAAATTATTGTCTCAGTATTTAAAGCAAGGACCAGCAAACTTCTCACGAAAGGACCAGACAGTACATATTTTTGGTTTTGCAGGCCATATCCTTTCTTCACAAGCTCTCGGACTCTGCCATTGTAGAGTAAAAGCAGCTAGAGATAGCAGTCAATGAATGGGCATGGCCGCGTGTCAATAAAACTTTATTTACGAAAACAGACCTTGGTCTAGATTGGGCCTGCAGGCTATCATTCGCAAACCCCGGTTTCAAGGAGGAAGCCCTGATTACAGTGATAGAAAAAATAGACTTGTCTAAGAAATGAAAACAAGTTCCTGCAGTAATAATTCTATGTAATTATAATAATAACACTAACGTTTGTATAACACATTAGAGCATGCAAAGCCGTATTATTATTCCTATTTTTTTTTTTTTTACAGCTGAGAAAATTGAAGTTCAAGAGGAATTTGCTCCAGGGGTCAGGTTAGTAAGATCCACACCAGGATCCAGATCCTCTGATGGCAAAGGGGGTTTTTCTGCACTGCGTTCTCCGCGCCACCTCCTGGCTCTGCCTGTCTGCGGCCCCGGGGTCCCGGTCACACTGGGGCAGGCAGTTGGCATGGTCTGCGAGCCCCCGGAGACTTCAGTTTTGGGTCGGAGAGCACTGAGAAGTTTTGTGGAAAGGGGCATTGTTATCTTAAGGGTGACTGCAAGTTCTAAAACAAGTTTATTGTGTTTTAGTCTTTATTAGTGTTGCTTTTTGTTGTTTTAATGTGATTTTTTCCCTTTTTGGATTTTCTATCTTGTTACCCAGGCTTCTAAGTTTGGAGGATAAAGTGGTGAATGTCGGTTCAACTGTCTACTTTAGATAGAAGATACATTTTTCACTAGAACAAAAAGTCTTTCTGCTGATGCTTTCCCCATCAACACATTTGGTTTCCTCAGTATTGTGATGTACAATTGGGTGAAAAAAGCCTCTTTACAAGAGAATTTTAATCACATCGTTTGGCGGTGCATTCTGGCATCCCTTAATTTCTAATTTGTGTCAGAAAAAGACTAGTCACTCATGGGTTAAACGATTAGCTCATCCTCACGCTGGGTTCTAACACACCTAGGGAGGAGTCAGCCAGCTCTGCACTTGATGAAACCCTATTTTACAACCTGTTGACACAGAAAAACTTTTTAGCATGCCTTGAAGGGCACTGTCAGGTTAGTGACCTTCACACTTCCTTCTAACTCGGCCGAGATTCTCTGACGCTTGAAGTCCCCGGTGCTAGAGAGGATGACGTTCTCCGGCCACTCTGATAAGGTTCTGTACGCAAAGTCCCAACTCGAGCAGCAGGTGGCCCACGAGTTCTCATGCCCTCTTTGGTGGCTTGCCCAGTGCCTTTAATGTTCAGCTACACATGGTGGTGGATTTCATCACTACTGATGGGACAATCACGCCACACCAGACTTCACAGCCGCACGTTGTCAGATCCCTGCTGAATTGTTTGGGAGGCTGAACAGATGCAATCCTAGATTAGAGGTATCCAAACAAGCTTTGCATCTGCTCAGGTATCCAGAAGCCCCGGGCGATGTGAATGTCACCAGCCGAGAACAAACAAACAGGACAGCCAGAAATCCAGGGAGGTGACCGAAAATCCCTCCTTGTTCTGAATGTGCTTGGTCCTCTTTCTCAAGGGGGTGCTGCGTGAGTACTTACTGACTGAGATGCATGGAGTCTTGGCTGACTCCCGTGTGAAAAATTTCCAGCCTCTTGTAAATCGTAAGCAAGGACCACATGCAACCGGAAAAGGTTGGTTTTTAGAATTTGGTGGGAAAAAGCAAACCCACAAGCATTTTTCAAGTGAAGAAGTGAGGGGAAGAAAATTGACAGCCTGTTTGTTTTCTGTGTTCACTGTTGGGAATTGACGACCCTCTTGATGTCCAGTTACTGGTTTCCACTTGTCGATATTTGACTTTATAAAAATGGTTTTTACTTGATTCATTTCTACACTCACTGCAAAAGTAGCTTGTATTCTCTGTGTAAGTAAATATACAGTAGACTACATTTAAGCAGGGTATAGTCTTCATAAAGGCAATATCCCACTTCAAAAAGTTTTCTTTTGCATGTGCCTATTTCTAACATGATCGTATTTATGGGGTTGGAGCTGAGATGATGTTGTTGTCTGATGAGTTAGAGAAGGAGAGAAAGGGGTCACAAAGGGAACTAAGCCAAGAAGGAATCCTCATTTTGTCCCTAAGTCATGTTGATTCCCAACAATTTCCAATGTTTTTATTCTTTCTAATGCTCTTCCCATAACCTCTTGTGCCCCATTCACTCACTGTCGTGTTCAGCCTCACACAAAGATCAGGACCGTAGAATGTTAGAACGAAAAGGAACCTCAGGACCTACTTGGATTAGTTTTAAAACTGATTTTTTTTTCGGTTGTGGAATATATTTGTCCCATGACATCTGTGTCAGAAGCCCAATAAGAAAGAAAGAGAGGAAAAGAGGAAGGAGGAAAGGAAGGGGAGAAGGAAGGAAGGAGGGCAGGGCGGGGGAAGGAAGGATAAGCACAAAAGGAAGACGGTGAGAATGTTTAGGACTCTAAAATTCTTTTAAGGAAATAAATAGGATAAATAGATGAGCAGGTCACAGCACTGAAAGGTAAACTGGGCAGATTTTCTGGAGGTATTGGTGCAGAGTTCGTTAGTTTTCTAGGTCCTGGCAATTTAGCTCTCTTCTAGACATTCCCTAACCCCTCTCTCTGTTTGCCTTGATAATTTCTATCTTCTGGTTGGCATCCAGCTATTCTAGTCAATAAATTGAATAGCAATCCCTACCTTCACGACAAGGCTGCTGCAGGAAAACAAACCCGCAACTTCGCAATTGGCTTAAAGCTCATCTTATAAACCTGAGGCAATCAGTTAAAAAAGTTTAGAATAACGTAGAAATTCAGGTGTAAGAGAATGTCCAGGACAAAGGGCACATGAAGCAAAATCATTCTCGGTTTCCCTTTGTCTGGTGGGGGGTGGTTTGGGAGGGAAGGTGTAGCTCAGTATTATGATGAGAGCCTATCACGACACCCAATTGGAAAGGGCAAAGAAAATATAAATACAGTAAGTAAAATATTTAATTTGGTTGAAAGCATCAAGTGTATTTGTTTAAAAACATATATGCTATACATTCCTTTTCTTTTCTTTTTTTTTCCCCTTTAACCAATCAATAATAATTTGACCCTGGCTTCCAACATGGCAGCTGGAACAGGGCCATTGTGGGAGGGGCAGAGTTCATATATTTCCATTCCTGACAGGGTGTGGATGGGAACTTACCTGGCCAGCTGTTTGCAGCACCTCTGAAGGCAAGAAGGTAAATGCTAGCATTGCCTGGTATCATTCTTAATGATGAGCTCTGCATGGGAAAATTACTTTAAATGATAGAAACCCAAAGTAGATTGGATTGAAAGCAAAAGCTATGCTGCTTTTATTTAGTCAAATGCCTTTGGAAAACGAGCGATTTGTTTTATGATGTGTTGAAGTTTTTGTAACTGTGGCAATTTTTTTTTGGTAAATGTGACAGTGGTATCTGTCACCTCCGCCAGCCTCCGACGTCTGGTCAGCTGTCAGAGGTGTCTGACTGATTTCTTAAAAATGTGGATGTTTGAAAAAATTTTAAAAATCTTTACATAGTTGGAAGATTGTATGTTTCTACTAATTTCTGAAATATAAAATGGTATAATATTTAGAATGTCTGTATTTTGGATAATATAAGTTTACATTTGTCTTTGGCAACTTAAGATAGAAATGCTTTCCTTGCTTCTTTCACAAGCATTTCTCTGTTTTTAGGTATTGTGTTTCATTTAGTTAGTTATGACCAGGTTTGGAAATTGATTCCAGCAGAAGAGCGTCTACTTGTGTGAAGTTGAAAGTTTATTGCCAACTTATTAATAGCTTTGTAAAAATTATGGAAATTATAAGGCATGAACCATTTTTGGGATATAATTTTTTTCCCTACTATATTGAAGAGAAAAATTACTCTTAGAATAGTTTCGGTTGTTAGAAAACTCAAATCTACCTAGTGTAAACTTTTATATTGTCACAATAAAGGAAACCATATTTTAGTAACTACATTATTTCTAGTAGAGTAGAATATTAATCCAAAGTTGATTCTACTGTATAACAGCTCTGTTCATTATGGCTCCCTGCAGAAGGTATAAAGTTAATATGAAATAGGGATTATCATCTACTATTTCAAATATTAGAATTATTTACAACGAAAGGGGCAGATGATAGCAAAGAAACCCACAAATATTTATTAATGCCTCTGTGTGCTACTGTTTACATTTACTAATGGGATGCAAAGATGAATAAAATTCATGAAATCTATCATTAAAAGAATCATATTTTGGAAGGAATAACAGAAATATCAAAACAATCACCTTATAGACAGAGTGATACGGGGCACAGACAGATTAGCATATCTATGAATATATACACGCTATGACAGCAAGATGAGAAGGCCCATGAACAAAATAAAGGCAGTGAACTTGTCAATATCGTGAAAGCAAAATTCAAATTTATTGTAGCGGGGGCCGACCTCATTCCTTATATTCGGCTATCGGTACAATAAATTTACATTTGAGGATCAAAATCCTCCTTTTACTTTTTTAGAGGCTACATGATCAATCCCTTGGAAGAGTTACAGGCAAAAATATAATATTTTTATTGCTATCTAAGTGTTTTTACTTCTTTCTTTTTCTGAATAAAATTATTCCTCCGCGTCTCCCTCGGTAGCTGCGGTCGGTAGGAGGTGGTGTCGGGACTGTCTGTGGACGTGAGTTATGGAGGGGCGTGGCCCTCCAGGGCTCAGCGCCGTTGCCCCGGAGGGCAGCATGCTGCTCGGGGCGGGGTTGGGGGGAGGCGGTGGCTGGGAAATCAGACAGAACTGGCTGATTTGCACACCAGCTACGTCACTTCATGGTTGGGTGCAAAATGACGATAATTTCAGACTTACAGGATTGGTTGAAAATTGGAGACAGTATTTGTGAGGTGGCAGGAACATTGTGGGCTCAGATTAAATGGTAACTATTATTACAAAGTCACTTATAATTGTTTTTTTTTTTGATTCCTTGAGCTAAATAGATTTCTGAGGGACCTTACTATTTTAAAAGGTTATTTCAGGTCTGCTTGAACATGATGATTACTTGAGGCCCACGGAACACAAGTTTTCAAGTTGTAGCCTATTAAGAGAGAGCCTACATCAGCAGTCAGAGTTTAGATGTAGCCGAACAGTGATTTCTTTGTTTGAAGGATGTTTTTCGGGGTAGATGTAAAGACACATGTGGTGTGTTTTTAAAATTCCCTCAGGTTATGTTTCTGAATCACGCTGGAAAGACTAAAAGCATCTATTAAAGTGGGAAGACATTGAAACCAATATACGCCATTCAGTTCAAGGCAGTAACTATTTTTAATGCTTGCTCTGTGCCAGCTGTCTGCTGATAAAAACAGAAATAAGGAGCCTACATTTCCACCTTGGAAATACACAATATCCAAAAGCAAGACAGCAAAAGAAAAAACATTTTATTTGAGAGGGACGGGTTCAGAGTGAGATCTACATGAGATTGTGTTGACACTCTCTGGAATCGATTTTAGGGGTAGGGGCTGGGGCAAGGGTGGTTCTGGGAGAGTCATTCCCTTATTTTGGTTCTACAGCACCTACGGTTCTACATGGTCAAGAGAAGGGGCTACACCTAATGACTTCCAAACCCTCAGCATCTTTCAAAATCTTTTATCTCTTGGACAATGGCAAGGACTATTTAAAGTGCCCCAAGCCCTATAGCTTCACAGGGAATGAATGGGAAGGTGAGAATGTTAACAAAGGACATACATGACCTGTGACAATTTGAAGGATATATATTCTTTCACAGGACATTCAGGGGGAGCACAGACACATTTCTTAAGTAGAACCAGCAGAAGGAGGAGGTGGATTGACGTTTTCTTGGTTGTAACTCGACCATGGGGACATGGGATCCTGCGATTTTACTTTGCCTGAATAAAGGAAGCTCTCCCATGAACTGGGCAGAGCTTGACCCCGCAAAAGATGTGTGTAAGTCCTAATTCCCAGTAATGGTGAATGTGATCTTACTTGGAAATAGGGTCCTGGCAGCCGCGGTCAGGTTAAGATGAGGTCAAACTACTGGATTAGGGTGGGCGTTAATCCAATGACTAGTGTCCTCACGGGAAAAGGGATAGTTGGGCGCACACACAGAAGACACGGGGAAGAACACATGTGGAGACGGAAGCAAAGATGATGCCTCTACAATCCAAGGAATGCCTGGCAGTCCCCAGGAGCTGGGAGAGAGGCCTGAAACACGTTCCCTGAGAGCCTCCAGAATGGACCAATCCCGCCAACACCTTGGTTTTGAACACCTGGCTTCCGTAACTGAGGCGGAATAAATTCCTGTTGTTTAAGCCACCTACTTCATGGTAATTTGTGAAGGCAGCCCGAGCAAACGAATTCACACCGCTGGTGAAAGTAGATTCCTCTCTGCATTATTATCAAAATCAGTATCTATATACCAGGGTGACAAAGACCTGATTTTCCAGTTTTTAATAACATACTGAATAACTGTTTGTGGTTATATCTTGGGTATTTAAAATGAGATCTGTCTATTTACCTGTTTTCCTCTGATCATCATTTTCTCTCTCTCGCTCATTATTTGCTCTAGACCGTCATCAGTGACACGATGGATTGTCTCATTGCAGCAAACTCCAAATTTTGCTTTGACTTTTTTCAAGAGATAAGCAAAAGCGATGGTTCTAAAAACATCTTCTTCTGTCCTCTGAGCCTGTCAGCTGCCCTTGGCATGGTCCGTCTGGGGGCCAGAAGTGACAGTGCACACCAGATTGACCAGGTGCGGATACGGTAACCGCAGGCCCACCCTCAAAGCCGGACCCCAATCCCTGTGTGTAGGATGAATGAATGAATGAATGAATGAAAATAACAAGAGCAACTCCCCCTTAAGCTCCAGGCTCCAAGGTTGGTCTTCCCCGGATCTAGCACTTAGCACAGCAGCTATCTCTGAACCCAGCTGCTGTCTCTAATGCAGAGGACTGACTTCTTGGATGGAGGCAGCATGCGTTTAGGATTATTCTACTTTCTTGATTTACTTTGTTTTTGGTACATTATTTATTCCTTTAGCAACACTTAGCTTTAGAGTGTGATTGGCATCCTCCAGGTCAGGTTCGAGACCTATTTCTCCCCAGGCCCTGGGAGAAAACCTATCCTGAGCGGGGGTGGATGCACCGCTGGCCCCCCAAATGTCTATGAGGCTCTGGATAACGACCGCATCTCCTCGGGTCCTCACTCGATCAGCGTGAAGCGCTAGATCAGCACTGCCAGATGTGTGTAGGATTTGATCCACATGTCTGTGATTTAAAACTCTTTAGCGGCCATATTAGGGAAGTAAAAAGAAGTAGGTGAGACTAATTTTAATAATCTATTTTATTTAACTCAATACGTCTAAAATATTATCGGATCAATATGTATTCAATTAAAATTTACATGAGATGTTTCACATTCTTTTTTTTTTATATTAAGTCTCCCAAATCTGACGTGTATTTTCCAAGTGAATTCGCACGGGGTCAGTAACCGCCCGTGGATCAGGGACCCCGGACGGCCTTTCAGTCTGGTCGCAGTGGTTGTCACGTGTCCCAAGGGGGTGGGGGCGGAGCTCAGTTGACCTCCCCTCCGTTCCACCTCACAACCCAAGTCAGAAGAAGTATCCACTTTCCTTTAAAAACTGTTGCTGATTGTTTTTGTTTGACTCTGTGATCACGGTCCTCGTCACATCATAAAAATGTCCCCGAAGCTCTCCAGACTTCGCGCTGTTCATGTTGTCTGAGAGAGCCCGTGCCATCCTCACGCAGGTCCTCCACTTCAACGAGTTTTCCCAGAGTGAAAGCAAAGCGGGGGACCCCTGTCTGAAAGACAAAGAGCGGGAGGTGCTGGCCCACAGCTCCCTGGAAGGGTCGAAAGGAGCCTCTCCGCAGGTGAGCCGCCGTCAGCCCCTGCCCTCGCCCTCACAGGTGCTCGCGCTGGCTGTCCTGTCTGTGCCCAGGGGTGTGTAGCTCCTGGCTGTCATCGACCGCTCCGACAACAGCAATAACCCCGTATGGCCCACAGTCCCTTTCTGTTTATGCATCTTATTTGTTCTTGGTTGCATGCTACTTTCCTAAAGCGTAGGGTCCAGTAGCTTCTGTTCACGACAAAGAAGCTGAGCTCGAAGCCCCATTACGCACCTGCTTCTTCCAGGTCTGGCCGAGGATGAACGGCAGGGGGCGCTGGGCATCAGCTGTGGGATTCCCACTGTCTCCCCTCCGCTTTTGCCTGTTTTAGTTCTTGCTGAAATCTGTACTGACACACACACACCTTTTATCGGTTGTCTCACACCGGGGGCACGAATGATATTCTCCAGGTTACAAATCCCTCAAACTACAAACGTTGAAGAGGAAGGCGGAGCGAAGATGCTCTCTTTCCTGTATCGGTTGAATGCGGAGAAAAACGGCGCGCACGGACCCGAAGCATAAGGCGCCCTGCAGAGCCCTGCAGACGCGGTTTCCGTGGAGGATCTCCCACCAGGACCTCTCCCTCTCTTCCTTCTTCTCTTCTCCTCGTCTTGCTGCCCCACGTGGTAGCAAAGCCAAATGGCAACTTGCTTGTAGCTGATTAAGATCACATTTTGTTTCTTCTTTTGTTAGGCGGGGTCTTCTGAGGATGAAAGTACGCGTCTCAGTTACTGCTTTGGGCAGCTTCTGTCCAGATTAGATAGAATCAAAGCTGATTACACCCTGAGCATTGCGAACAGGCTCTACGGAGAGCAGGAATTTCCAATCTGTCCGGTGAGTTGGGCAAGAACGACGTTTCGGGCTCCCCGGGAACGTACCGGGTAAAAACCACACGCCATCCAGAACGCAAACCTCTTCGACGGGATACGTGGGGCGGGCTGGTGGGAGGTCCAGGGCTCACCTCTTCTCCCACACCTGCTGGGGCCCTCCCCCCAGTTTTCAACTGGAGCAGTTTACGAGGCTTCTTGTGAGCGGAAAGAGGGTCACGTGACTCGGGGCCTTCAGAGCGTGTGTGGGCTTGGTAACGCTGGTCTCTGCTGTGGCCTCTTTCCCAGTCACGGGGCCTGGTAGAGGGGCTTGGTAGCTCCCCTTCCTGCTGTCCCCTCCCCACCCCCGCCTTCCAAGGCCCTTTCCCGAAATCACCATCGGTTCTACCAGCACCCCCCCTCCCCCCAAGAGAAATGGCACTCCCTTAAGAAGTGGGATAGTGTAGACTGGATTTGGAGCCAAAAGGCACATCTCTGGTCTCCGTGGCCACACCGTTCTGCCCCCAGAGCATGCTTCATCCGAGTCCGGGCTTCAGTCTCCTCTGTCACCACTAGAAGGCGCCACATCCACGGCAGTAAACTGGAGGGGCGTGGCCAGCGGCGAAGGCGCACCCCGGCTGGTTAGGGCTGGCCTGGGAAGGGGAGGGGCAGCCTACTTGGACCAAAATAACCAGTTTCCTTACAATGGAAATGAGATTTTTACACACTGTTCTTCTTTTTTTAAAGATTTTATTTATTTATTTTTAGAGAGGGAAGAAAGGGAGAAAGAGAGAGAAAGAGAGAGAGAAACATTAATGTGCGGTTGCTGGGGGCCGTGGCCTGCAACCCAGGCATGTGCCCTGACTGGGAATCGAACCTGCGACACTTTGGTTCGCAGCCCGAGCTCAATCCACTGAGCTACGTCAGCCAGGCCACACTGTTCTTTTAAAACCGGCTTTACTGAGGTGTAAGTGCATGTATCATACAATTCACTTAATAAAAATGTCCCCATCAGTGGTTTGGGTATACCACATTATTAATGTTTGACAAAATTGTATAGTATCTATGACATGAAAATGTCTCCTTTAACTATTTTTAAATCTACAATTCAGTGGCATTAATTACATTCACAACGTTGAGTCATCATCACCCTATTTCTAAAAATTTTTTTGTCCCCTCCATCAGAAACTCTGCTACCATTAAGCAGTTTTAATTTTTTAAAATAGAAACAATGTACAGCTAAGTCATCCAGTCACTTGATCTGCATCTCGAGATGTCTCCACAAATGGAGTGCCCGAGCACAAGGACACCTGGTAGGAAGGCCGGGGGCCATTATAACTGGGGGCTGGCCCATGAATAAGGATTCTGCAGGCTCAGCCGTCACCATAGCAACGGCAGAGGCTCAGGCTCACTGGACTGGGGGTAGACCGAGGCTGGCCTGCATCAGGTGTGGACAAGGAGGCCCAGGACTGCGCGGCCGCTGACTAATAGCACAATTACAGGATTCCGTCCCACCTTCTCCCTGTGTTCTCATTCGACAGGAGTACTCGGAAGGCGTGATTCAGTTTTATCACACAACCATCGAAAGTGTGGACTTCCGGAAAGACACTGAGAAGTCCCGGCAGGAGATTAACTTCTGGGTGGAGTCTCAGTCCCAAGGTAGGAAAGCCCCGGCGCACGGTCGCTGGCCCGCCCTCCCTTCCCAGGGCGGACAGGTCAGCCCCGCTTTCAGGTTCCTCGTCCGTCCGTCAGAACCCTGCGTGCTTCTGGTCCAGCACCCGGGTCCAGCGCTTCTCCTGCACCATTCACTCAGTTACAGTGCTTAGCTACGACAGGTACTGATTGTCACTCTCCACTCCGTCGTAGAGGGGACACGCCTTTCAGCCAAGCACCAGGCCCAGCAGGACGTTAAGAACCATATCCATTTCTTTTCAAGGGCCAGGAAAGAGATTGTGAGGAGAATCTGGTTATTCAGAGGGACGTGGGAATAATAAAAGCCTTATTCACATCAGCGGTTCACCAGAAACACAGGTGTTCTGAGTGAAGGGGCATTTACAGATAGCGATAAGGGGTGAAAATTGGGGTTCACCATAAACGCAATTATTTTCAAGTATGAAACTCCCCTTGTAACTTTATCCAGATCCCAGCAAAATGGAAGTCTCTAAATGGACTGTGTGAACCTGAGCAACACCCCTCCCCCCCATCATGTGTCGGTTAGATAAAATCGGCCCCCTTGCCTGGCTCCCCAAATCCTCAGCCTTGACCCCTCTGAGCACTGCTCTTCGTCTACCGTCTCCTCTTCATTGTCTTCCTTCTAATGTTTTCTTCAGTGTAACTCCCTTATGTGGCTGTTCCAAAAAAGACATAAGTTGTGCTTCATCAGATAGTATCAATCTGTGTACGTTGCCTATCTCTTGACTCTGAGCTTGACTTGGTGGAGTACAGGGTTCTTCACTGCTGTGATGCTTGCATTAAAAACAAAACAGAAACTGCTGGACACTAAATTGGTTAAATGGTCTTGGTGTCGATGAGCTTTCTGGTTCTCAGGAGCCGCATCTGTGAAATGATGGAGGGAGATGTCTCACTTCCATAAAATCCCATAATTTGTGTTTTCTTTAGTAAATAGAACCCGTAAGTTCATGCTCTGGATAGTTCTTTCTCATAGGTTCTGTTTCTTGTTTCAGTATTTCTTTTTTTAAAAAACATTTTTTAAAAAATTTTATTTTAATCGTTGTTCAAGTACAGTTTTCTGTCTTTTACTCCCATCCCAGCCCACCCCCCACATCCCTCCCCTCCTCCCTCCCATTTGCACCCCCATAGTTTTTGTCCATGTGTCCTTCATACTTGTTCCTGTAAACCCTTCCCCTTTTCCCCCTGAAATGCCCCTGAAATTCCCTCCCCTCTCCCCTCTAGTCACTGTCAGCTTGTGCTCTATTTTAGTGTCTTTGGTTATATTTTGCTCGTTTGTTTGTTTTGTTGTTTAGGTTCCTGTTAAAGGTGAGATCATATGGTATTTGTCTTTCAATATTTCTGATGATGTGCTTTGGTTGGAGTTTAGTGTGTCTTTTTGAGAGCACAATCACTCCCATTTTTTGAGCCATGCCAGGGTTTTCAGCATTGAACATTCACTTGCCCATAGAATAAAAACTCATCTTTTCTCTAAAATACCCACTGGCATTGGGATCTGTCTGTCATATTAGAAATACTTGGGACCCCATCTCTTGGACTTACAATAACTAGCATATAACAAAAATAATTTAGCACACTTAAAAACTAGTCTTTAATTGAAGTGTAGGGAGCTTTAAATCTACAATATCTATTTCAGTGTCTTATATTTACTTGTAATTAATATATGAAGTCACATTGTCTTAGCGAGAACCCATGCAGGTATAAAAGTTTTCAGGGTTGATTTACACGGTGAACAAAGAATGAAAGGAAGCCAGAGGAGGTTGAAGACAGGGCACATGTCTTTTAGAAGACATCCCTGAGTGTAGACTGGAGGACAGATTGCAGGTGGACAGGAGTGGAGTGGGCAGGTGCCAGGGGCAGAGTGAGAGCATTACTGCAGAAGACTTGGAGGGAGGTGCTGGTGGCTTGGACCACGTGGTGGTCATGGCAATGGAGGGAGGTGGAGGGATGTGAGAGATATTAAGCAGTAGACCAGAAGGATTTTACCAAATGCTTCGATAGATGATGGGTTGTTTAATAGCGTCTAAGAGTCATCTAGAATGACCTGTAACATTTTAACATGAAATCTTCATTCTTTTTTTTTAAAGATTTTATTTATTTATTTTTTAGAGAGGTAAGGGAGGGAGAAAGAGAGAGAGAAACATCAATGTGCGGTTGCTGGGGGCCATGGCCTGCAACCCAGGCATGTGCCCTGACTGGGAATCAAACCTGCGACACTGGTTTGCAGCCCGCGCTCAATCCACTGAGCTACGCCAGCCAGGGCAGATGTCAAGTGTTTTAATATACTTTTTTCAGGCAAAGATTTTCCCACACGAGGATAGGCCCTATGTCCTGTCTTCCTAGCACTGGCTTTGGGCTGGGCTCCCCCTGCCTGGCCTTTCCTTGGGGGAGATACCCAAACTCCAGAATTATTTCTCCCCATTTCTTCCCCATGTCACAAAACCCCCCATACCTTCAGGGTTGCACTCAGTTGCCAAGAGGAAAGCCGGTTCACTAAAAAATTTTATACAAAGGCACAAATATCTAATTTCTCTTTAGTTAGTTAGCTCTCCCAGAGTAGATGATGACAAAATAAGGTATTCTCATGAGATTTGAGTGGAAATCTTCTTGAGGTGGAAAGTCTTCTCATCTGTAGGCCCAGGCCTGCATCCCAGTAACGGCACTGGTGACTCAGGGTTTTGGAGCAGAAAAGGACAAGTGCTGAAAACAAACTACTGCCTGCGAGTCGCGGGCTCTCCCGGTCTGCCTGGGGCTGTGGTACCGTGGAAGGAGCCCAGAGCCGAGCCGAGAGTGGGAAGGAAGGTTCCAGGACGGGTCTCAGCCAGCTTTCCTGCTTTGTGGCCGTGTGGCCTCATCTTTCATGGGCTATAGTTTCTCCTCCTATAGAGAAGAGAGAACAATATCTATTTGTCATGACTGATGTCAGATGGAATGAGAGAGGGCATGGGAAAGTCCTTATAAAACAGGTTTCATACCATTGCCTCGTTCATTTAGACGCAGTTTTGTTGATGTGTAAGACGACGTGTGATGCTCTGATGAGTGTGTGAGACAGAAAGTTTACACAACGGTCCTTTTTCTCCAGGACGTTATCATGTGATCAGGGGGCAGGATCTCTACTCTGAAGGATAGATCAGGGCATACGACATCTGAAGCCAAGGTCCACTCACAGTGATAGGGAGAAGTCCCTCAGCAACCAGCCTCTGAACCGGATCCTGCCTCCTCCCCAGCTCCCAACCTAACCCCGACTCCTGCCCCACCCAGGACTCTGCGTGGCTTACTTTTCTGGGGTTAGCTCTTGAATGAGACACTCTCTAGCTCTGGGGATATTATGGTGCATAGAAAAAAATCTGTCCACATAAATACTTTTGGTACAATTCATATTCAAGGTATTCTCTGGAAAACAAATTTTCTTAGGTAAAATCAAGGACCTCTTCAGCAAGGACACCATCAACAACTCGACTGTGCTTGTGCTGGTGAACGCGGTGTACTTCAAGGCCAAGTGGGCGAAATACTTTGAAAGTGAAAACACGGTGGACGCGCCTTTCTCTCTGAATGAAGTATGTGTCACAGCATGTGGCTTCCTACATGGTCCCTTGCGGTTTCCACTGAGAATGGCTTGCTGTTTGTACATGCAAATCTAAGACTTGGGCCTCTGGGCGGCGGCTTACGTTTATAACAATAACACTTTTGCTGTTAACGAAAATCAGTGTCTGAAGTTTCCTGAGCATTTTCTGTTTGTTATTTCAGTTGTTCCCTAAAGTCACAGTATGAAAATGGGTGTTATTACTCCCACTTAGGAGCTGAAGGGAGAAAATGCAAAGGTGGTGTTACCTAGCCAGCTCCATGCATTGGGATTCACATCTGCATGGGCCTAAGAAGACCCGTGTTCCAAGCTGCCGGGCTGCAGAATAGACGGAAAGGGAGGCGTCAGACCCCAGGGTAGCACTTGGCAGCTGTGTCATTCTCAAAGGCTTCACCTCCCCATCTGTAGACTGACGGTCCCCCGCACACTGAGAGGTTATTACGAGGTTTAAGAAGTCTGGGGCTGTGCCCTTTCCTCCGGTGGAAGTCTGTGGGACAGGTGCTGTCATTTACTGTGTAGATGATTGTCATCTAACCGAGCTTCCTGTTGGCCCTGTGATGCGGGGATTCAGTCCAACTGGGACAGGAGTCGTATGAGGCCACCAGGTCGGGGTGGCTGAGGAAGAAAACACAGGGAGAGAGCTGCAGGGCTTGCTTCTGGCAGCTAGGCTGTGGGTAGGTGCCTGGACAGACATTCTGCCAACAAATGGTCTTGAGAGCTGAAGAACCTGTTAAAACCACAGGAAGAGGAAGCGTTGGCAAAGTAAGGGCCAGCTGACCAGTGGGCACGTGACTCATAGGCTGGGCCACTGGTGTGTCTCAGCACATCTGGCGAAGGCCCTGCTCGTCTTAAGGGATCTGTGGTTTCAGGGAAGTTGGGGACCCAGTGAGTTTGTGAGCTTATCGTGGCAGTCCTGTGACTTTCTTCCTTGTTGGCTACAGAACGAAAAGAAGACTGTGAAAATGATGAACCAAAAGGGTGTATTCAGAGTGGGCTTCATCGAGGAGGTGAGGGCGCAGATCCTGGAGATGCAGTACATCCAGGGCAAGCTCAGCATGTTCGTCATCCTGCCGTCTCACTCTGCGGACAACCTGGCGGGCCTGCAGGAGGTAACCCTCCATTTTCCTGTCTCTCCAACCTGTCACGTTACAGGTCTTCGGAGAGAGCACCATCTACCACCTACCCTCCTGAGGCAAGGTGGTGCCTCAGCAGTCAGAGCTCAGCAAAGGATATGTAAGACTCTGAATCCGATGCCTTTGTTACTCATTTGTTAGCGAAGAGCAAATGCCAAACATGGAGGCCAAGGCTTTCCACTCCAGTCTTGCTGCTCTCTGTAGTCGTATTTTTTTTCCAGATCATGGAATCTGGATGGGGAGCAACTTGAGGACTGCTACAGATAGAAGGGCTTTTCTTTCCCCCTGAATATCCTGGCTGCTGGCCTCTTCTGCAGACTGTTTTGCTGTAGCTCAGCTAAAGACTCTGTAGCTGAGTCCTGCTTCGGGGTGCTTGTGCCTTGAAGGCAGTGGAGGTTCTGACACTAGAATAGATTGCTTGTGATGTAGGAATGAATTGAGGCTGTGGAGGCTCAGCTACATGTCCTGTGGGGTGAAGAGAGAGAGAGACAGAGGGAGGGAGAAAGTGAGAGAGAGAAACACTGAATAGTCATTATAGTATTAACCATCATCCAAAATTTATTATGTGCCTGCATTAGGTTAAGTACTTTAACTACATTATTTTGTTTAATCCTTGAAGAGCCTAATGGTCTTATCTCTGTTCCATAGAAGAGATTGAACTTCCAATGTCAAGGCTTGGTCATGCTCACCCAGCTTAATCAGCTGAGCTTTGCTGGGCTTTGAACACTGGTCTGTCAGACCCCAAAGAACACTGGAGGTCAAATTTTCCTGCAACTCCTATAGAGAAAAGAGGTTTGCTTGGAGGAGATTTAAATGAAATCAGAGTATGTTGAGGTGTAGGAAGAAAACTTGAAGGCTGTTACCAACTGTTGACGTGCTCTCGGGCCCTGAGAAGTAATTGGGGCTTTCTTTGTAGGCTCATACTCTGACCCTCAACCATTATTTTATTCCTCTTGCAGCTTGAAAAGAATATCACCTATGAAAAAATAGTGGCCTGGAGCAGTTCAGAAAATATGTCAGAAAAGAAAGTAGCTGTCTCCTTTCCCCAGTTCACCCTGGAAGACAGCTATGATCTCAATTCTATTCTCCAAAACATGGGCATCACGGATATCTTCGATGAAAAGAAGGCTGATCTCACTGGAATCTCTCCAAATCCCCAGTTGTACCTGTCTAAGGTTGTCCACAAAACCTTCGTGGAGGTGGATGAGAATGGCACCCAGGCCGTCGGAGCCAGTGGGGCTGCCGGCAGCGTGATGTCTGCACCATCCTGGGAGACCTTTGATGCCAACCGCCCTTTTCTCTTTTTCATCAGACACAACAAAACCCAAACCATTCTCTTCTATGGCAGGTTCTGCTCCCCTTGAAAGGAGCACGCTGTCTAGTTCCGGGAAGCTGGAAGAACATGGCAGTGCAATCCGCCCCTGGCCCAGCGTGGCCTTTTGTGCTTAAGCTACTATCTAGAGCCGGTGGAATTTCATCACAGCACCATGCTCCCTTCCTCCAGCCACTGGCCTGGGCTTTTCCCCCTCTTTTCCCCACCCTGTAGCTGATTTTCATCTAAGTCCATTAGCGTCCAAGGGCCCTTTCTCCCTCCCTCACCTCTTACCACGCTGAGCTTTCAAGCATATAAAAAAAGTTCACCCTCTGTGACCTGAAGGTCAACATCATGGACAATAATACTGACTTTAAGTTACCCACTTCCTCATGAGAGAATCCCGAAAGCTCAAATCATTAGACCACTTCTAGGAGATGGCAAATTCAGAAAGCACTGTAATGTGGGTGGCAAGAGAGGATGGTTAAGTGGAATGTGTTTTGGGAACCTGGCTCTGTCTCTAGGGCAGTTAAAATTGTGGTGCATCCCTGAGCAAGATGTGTCTTCCTCTTCCATCTTCTGCTGCCCGAGAGATGCCCCATAAGGGGCTTCTTCTCACTTGGGAGGAAGCAGGGGTTGAGGGTGGATTTCAGCGAGAGCTCAAAGGTGTAAAACTGCACCAACCAGCACCCATCTTGCACAGAGAATATTTCCTGTGAATTTGGCCACGTTTGGGTTTGCATATTCATCTACTTTCTTTGTTTGGAGCGTCAGAGTCAGGCCACACATGGAGAAACACACTGTCACCCTCTAGCAGAGCTACACTGGATTGGGAGCTCTTGATTCTTTGATCTTTTCCCACCGGCAAGACTGACCCTTCAATAAGGCAGGCAGAGGCGCTGCCGTAACTGCTAGAAAACCAACCAGAGCATGAAACTCCAGGGAGAGAACTCCTCCACGGTTAGCTCAGCTCCTCCGTCCAGCAATGTTGCAGGACAAGCACAGCAAAGGAGATTTCAAAACAGTTGATTCATTTGTGCCGACTAGCCAGCTCTTTAATTCCAGGTTCTGGAGTTCTGTTTTACTCAACCCAAGTCCTCGCTGTGATTCCATACATTATCTAATATGTAACTCCCCTTCAAACCCCGCCCCCCACCCAGTTTTTCCTGGAGCTGCCCAGAACACGTGTGGTTTCATCCCTGATGCTGTTTATTTCTCTTTATTACAGCGTCATTAACCTGTGGCACAGGTCCCGTACCTGGGGTGGCAGGAGGAAGGAGTGTGTAGTTGTCTTAGTGGATTCCTTTGTTCCGCAGCTGAATGAATGCCAACTTCATCCATGCTGCTCACGCTGTATTCTCGTTTTCCCCAAGCCACTGTCTTGGTCTTTTCTTTCACTCAATAAAATAACACCAAACTTATCCCCTGTATTCATACCTTTCACCAATGTATTCTCTATCCTTAATATTTAATTTAAATATCCTCATGCTCTAATATGCCATTTCCCTTCTAAATAATGCTATCCATAACATGCATCAGAGAATGTTTTAGCTAGAGATGGGTGAGAAGAATTTAAGAAGCAACCAAGTAAATGTCCAACGGCGGGGCCAATAGAAACCTGCAGACCTTCTGTTGGCACCCGTGAGTTCTGAATGCATCCATCCATGTCCAAGTTTAAATAAATGGGCAAAAGCTATCGCGCTATGAAAAAAAATAGTGTCAAATAAGGAAGAGATACATCACGGTACAGGCAAAAGACGAGACTTCAGAAAAAGATTTATGGGAAGAATGAGAAGATCAGTAGGATTTGGGGAGCACAAAAAGGAGGCAGGACAGCTATGGAGTTGGAAGGGAACTCCGTAAAGGTAAACTGTGGTGGGGTGTGAGAGAACAGAATGAAACGTGAGAAGACTGGTAGGAAACTAAGACTGCAACAGCAGAATTTAAATAGATGGTAGAGGCAATAAAGAGGCAAAACTGGTACACTGGAAAATGTGGTTAGTGATGAACAGGGTGTGGCTGTCTCTCTTGGAATGTGTAGGAAATAACAGGAGGGGCATGGGTAGACACAGAGAGGGAACAGAAGGTCCACCCAAGAATTATGGTGTTTCTGAGAGAGGAAGCAGATCAGTTGGCATGACATCAATAATCAAAGATAGAATTGAAAGAAAAAAACTTTCTTAACTTGGATAGTCACCTGATTACACTGATTTCTAAGAAAAATAGGCAAAAATGGACATCCTAAGAACCTTTAAATTAAAAAAAATGTTGAGAAAACAATTCTATTAGCATTTGAGCAAAAAAGAAAATGCACTTACAAGGATAAACAATTGATGCGCCTCAGACCTTTGTGTTAAATTTCCGAAGAAAATGAAACCTTGTGCAGAAGTTTGGGGGGGAAATATATGATGAAACAATTTCCCACTGAGTCAATTTGTGAATGCAACAGAAAGCCCTTGTCTGATGTGTTTTTGTACACGTGAGTGTGATATGTTTAATCCTACCACCCAGCACCGTGCTGTAACAATCACAGGAGCTGAAATTAAATTCTTGTTGCTTTGAGCAGAATCCAATGCAGTCAAAGATTCCAAAAAAAATTAGTAAAGAAATTCCATCAGAGAAAATATGATTTCAACTGACCATCAAAGGAAGAAGAAAAATTCTTCATTTGAATTCTAATGATGTTCCCAGAATTATTGGCAGCTGGGGTGCTTCTCTTTAGCAGTGATCTTTGTTTTCTTTTTTTACATTGGGTCCAGGCATGTGGTGAGTTTCAGTATCCAGAATAAGGTTGCAGCTTTGAAATCACTGAATTGGAACATAATACCTAATATTTATTGCATACATATCCTACTTATTGTGAACTGGTATTGATCGAAGACCTTGATATATATCAGCCCATTTAATTCTCTCAATCACTCTGAGAGGCAATTAGTCACATTTAACAGGTGAGGAAACCGAGGCACAGAGAGGTGAAGCCATTGTGTGAGATCTCTCAGGCGGCGAGTGGTTGAACAAGGATTTGAACCAGGCTGTTTGACAGATACTATACCGTAGATTACTAACTATGGCTCTATCTATCCTTCCAAGTAGAAATAAAGAATACCAGAGGTCATTTATCTCCATTTCCTTATTTTGCATGTGTGCGCTTTGAGTAAAAAGGAAAACTTACTTATAAAGGGTAAACTGTGTAAGGGTCCCTCAAGATAAGGTAGCCAGCAGAGTTGAGAGTGCAGGAGTTCTTTCAGTCTGGAGGTGGAAAATTCAGGAAGCAGGAGGAGGTATGAGGAGGCCGGGAACCATCGTGAGGACAGGTTCGGGCAGCGCTGCAGTGGGAGTAGCTAGGTCAGTGAGGGGTGCGTCTTCCCCTCCCTCACTGACGCTGGGTGCTGGGCGCAGCGACAGAGGTCCTTGCCCCCAGGCGGGAGCAGTAGGTGTGCCTGCTTGAGTCACAGAGGCCTCGCAGGGCCCCAGGTGACTGCCATTACCAAGGGGAGCCGGGTTCCCATTTAGTGGCTATAAGCCACGGGTACCCTTGCCTGGAAGCACAGCGGGTCCTTCCACTCCTAAACTGCCCCTGCAGGAGGAGGTAACCCCAAAACAGCCTTCAGGGACAGTCGAACAAGGAATCTCAAAGACACAGAGAAGTGTGTAGCCTAGACTACCCAGTGTTTGAAGGAAACACTTGGAAAAGAGGAATTGGCCTCAACAGAGTTAATAGATCAAACAAGAGACATGAAGACATACAATAAGAAGAGTGAATTATGAAATATTTATTCAGAGTTTTTGGAAATAAACAATTGTTACAAAAAGTTGGTATGCTGACTGAGTAGCAGAATGAACACAGCTGAAAAGTCCGCTGGAGGATGAATCCTGGAATTCTACCCAACACAGAAAAAAAGATAAAGTACTTAAGAAATGTTAAGAGCCACACAGGGTAGTTTAAGACATTCCAACATTTTCTTAGAGTGGAGTCGTGTGAGTTCGTCATATATACCATATGATCTCACTTTTTTTTTAATATTTTATTTATTTATTTTTTAGAGAGGGAAGGGAGGGAGAGAGAGAGAGAGAGAGAAACATCAATGTGCAGTTGCTGGGGGTTATGGCCTGCAACCCAGGAATGTACCCTGGCTGGGAATCGAACCTGGGACACTTTGGTTCCCAGCCCGCACTCAATCCACTGAGCTACGCCAGCCAGGGCATGATCTCACTTTTAATAGGAACCTAAACAACAAAACAAACAAAGAAGCAAAATATAACCAAAGACACTGAAATAGAGAATAGACTGACAGTGTCCAGAGGGGAGAGAGGAGGGAATTTCAGGGGAAAATGGGAAGGGTTTACAGGAACAAGTATAAAGGACACGTGGACAAAAACTAGGGGCGGGTGGAAATGGGAAGGAGGAGGGGAAGACTGGGTGGGTGGGCTGGGATGGGAGTAAAAGATAGAAAATTGTACTTCAACAACAATTAAAATAAAATTTAAAAAAGACATTCCAACATTTTTCAAGGAAGATTTCAGTAAGAGAGCTCTGAGGGGTGGGCAGGAAGTACTCAAAGATATAAGACAGGAAAATTGTACAGAACTGAAAAAAGTCACGAAGACCGAGAGAGCTCATTAAAAACCTACACTTCCCCACTGCGGCAAGTTACAAGATCACGGAAAAAAGAAAGTGTTTAGGATGCTTTGTGATGAAAGCAGATAGACTTTCTACAATGGAACAAGAATCTGATTGGGTTTAGACTTCTCTGCAAGCCGACAAGAAGACGTAGAGCAATAATTGCAATTCTGAGGGGAAGAAAAAACTGTGAAGCGAAAACGTGTATCCACGCAAACTATACTCGAGTGTGATGGCAGTGACGGCAATCAACAGCAATCCTTACTGTTAACATTAACACTCGTGTGTGTTGTGTGTATGGTCCGGGGCAGTAGTCAGGATGTATTCTCGCCTGCCTGGGCACCCAGCTGACTCAGCACAATGGCTGGGAGACACAACCTTTCCCCACCGCTCTGCAGGAACACTTCTCTACAGGCCGGCGTGCATGTGGGTGCAGGTGTGTGCTCCAGCCCCTCCTTTGCCCGAACCACACTTAGTCACTTAATGACAGTCCAAGCCACACTTAGTCACTTAATGACAAGTCTTACTATGCGGCAGGAACTCTTCCTCCACCTCCGTGAGTGCTTTGCCTGTTCTAGGCTCTCTGCTATTTCATATACATTTGGAATTGGCTGGTCAATGTTTTGAAAAACAAAACAAAACCTCCTGGGATTTCATTAAAATTGTAGTGAACAATTTTGAGGGAACGGACATCTTTACAATATTGAATCTTCCAAACCACAAATAAAATATCTCCATGTGCTCAGGTCTTAGTGTCTCTGGACTAGGTTCAGTCTTTTTCTAGGTAGGGACTTGGCATCTTTCATTTAAAAAATTTCCATTTTCTAGAAGTATGTTGCTAGTATATAAAAAGTGTTTGATTTTTTAATATTGACCTTATAGTCATCAGTCTTGGTAAGCTTACTTTTTAATTCTCATAAAGTATGTGTTGATTCCTTTGTGCATGATAATTTTGTTTTCATTTTGAGTCCTGAAACTTTTAACTAATTAGCTAATGAATCAACTAATCGAGTACCTTATTGCACGTACTCAGGTCTCTGGTGCAGTTTGAATGGAGGCGGTGTTAGTGGGCTGCCAGTTTTGATTTTTCAGCAAAGGAGAACCCTCTCCATTTCTTTCTGTCTGCAAACGCTGCTGAAGGACTCGAACAATGGGCACGTTCCTGGCTCAGTATGTAAAGATGAAAATTCCCCCCCATTAATGTATCAGCTCTAAAGAGTCCCAGTTGAAACCCCCAGAGGCTGTTTCATAGGCCTTGATAAACTGATTCAAAAATTTTTGTAGAAAAGAAAGAATAGATGCAAGAATTGTTGAGGAACTTCTGGAGAGGACAGCCAGGGAAGGGGTTAGTTAGGTCAGCTACCCCAACCTAAAGCAGCAGAGCTGAAGGTGGGGATTCTTGTTCAGGTATTTTGGGAGGGGGAGCGGAGGGGTGTGTCTTTGAGGAAGCAGGACAAGGTAGGGGAGACGCTGGGCTCCGTCACGGGGGCTTGAGGTGAGTTTCCATCTGATCCTACGGGGGAAGCTCTGGGTGACAAACTGCATTTGTAAAATGGGTCCTGTCTTTGAAGAAATACCCTTGCACCAGTGAGTCACTCCTGAGGCATGCCCTGGCGGGGGCGGGGTGCTGGGTGCTTCCCTGGTAGGTGGTTCCCCCTTGGCTGAGAGTCATGCCACAGACAGAGGGCAGCTGTGAATTATCAGCCAAATCAGGCACCGGGTGATAGAAACTGGTTGAGGGTCTCTGGGCGGGACCCCAGCAGCACCCACTACAGCAGGATAGGCCTGCAGATGGAAAATGTTACAAGCTGGTGTCAGTAACCGACACGCAGACGTTGTACCAAACCTGGGGTGCGGTGGGGAACTCCTTAGTCTTCTGATTGAGCTTTAGTATTCTCTGTCCTCACTCATGAGCATAGAAACTACTTTTAGAGTTTCTCATCATTAACATATTTTCTACCTTTGGGACAGTTTTGCTACCAGGAGGCACAGATAAAATAGAAGAAGGGGGAGGGGCCCAATGATTGGAGGTCGTGATGACCTTTGAAAATTAGGTTTAAAAAGAACAAGGATGAGAAATTTATAAGGAGATAGGGACATTTTGGTGTCCAGCGGTTTGCCCCAGCAGCAGCTGTCCTTGGCGATGGTGACCCCCCAGAGCACGGTCGTGTATGTGGGCCCCTACAGGAGAGGGGCAAGGGTTGGGGAATGGGGAGCTGCCACCCACCTGGGCTGTGAAGACGTCCGGAGGGGTGGTTGTGGTGAGGGCGGCAGGGAGACCATGCGCCAAGAACAGAGTGGGGGACGGTGGTCGGGGGAAGGGTGGCACAGTGAGATGTTGTAAGCCTGCAAAGGGGGCCTTAGAAGCGACTGAAGGAAGAATGGCTTGGGAGAAACAAGAGCAGGAGAGAGACTTCCAATGGGCACCTTGCTTCCTGAGCTCAAAGTCTCATTGGCTGTCCCCAGTGGAGACTTTGTGGGACGTGGTGGTGTCAGGCGTCCCTGTGAAAGCCGGTGGGAGAGAACATACTTTAGACAGAAGCTGAGGGCATATGGACATAACTGGGCAATGGAACAGGGAGTCTGGGGTTCCGGAGAAAGGAATCAGAAGGCAAACTGATAGGGATATGACACATAGAGCATTATTGCCAGCTCAAGGATTTCATGCCATCTCTTTTCTTTTTAAAACAATTTATTTATTGGGAGGCATTGATCTTGAAAATTATATCGGTTTCAAGTGCACATTTTTATGATACCTGATCTGTGTACTGCCTTGTGTGCCCACCACCCAGAGTCACATCTTCTGTCGTCACCATAGATTGGACCCCCCTTTCCCCTTTACTGCTCCCACCCCCTTCCCCCGGTCACTCCCACACTGTTGTCCATGTCTATGAGTTTTTGTTTGTTTTTTCATTTCATTAGCATCCAGGGGTAACTCCATAACTCAATGCTAATTCTTTCCAAACCCTCCTCAGTTTGTGTATTTCTCAGTGACAGTTAGAAAGCAGAAGTGATTAACACTGCTGTGAGTTTGCTTAATGAGCAGAGATTAAAATACGTCTTCATTTTTTGGAGGCAGACTGTGTGTACTGAGGTTGACACAGCTAGCCCCTGGAAGCTGCATCACCGAGCTGAGCTGCTTCTTTAGGCAGACACTCAGAGGGAAGAGCGGAGGTGTTCTTCTAGGATTCAGTGCTGGGTGGCAAAGACGAACCTCTATACCCGTGTCCAAGTGTTCTTGCTTTTAATGAGCTAGCAGAGCCTGTAGGGGCGCCTTAAGGTTGGCAGGAAAAACTAGAATTGGGAGGTGGGATTTCCTGTTGAGGTTTTTTTTTTTTTTTAGTAGTGTTGTTTTCCTGAAATCAGTGAGCTTGTTGGATGTTTATGAATCATTGACGCTTAGCCCAACGTCTAGTACATAGAAGACTCTCAATGAGTCTTCTGAGTTACTGAATGAATTAAAATGGGAGATTTCATAATTCATGAACAGGCTGCTGCAGAACCACAGCTGGTGTGTGTGTGTGTGTGTGTGTGTGTGTGTGTTTGTGTAGCTGCCCACTCCAACTTTTCTCGCGATTTTTTCTCACCACTTTTCTAGCAAGATTTTTTCCTTTCATTTTCTTCTCTGGGCTTGGCACCCCCCACGTAATGCAACTGCAGAGTTAACGTAATTAGAAAGGCTGGGCTTGTCAGGACGGAGCTCTGTACACCTGTGGTAAATAAGTGTGCATTCATGGAGAGCTTCATGTGGCCATGAAACCAGCAGCTCCGACCTCGGGCTGCTAAAAATTTGGACAGCAGGTTTCCGTCCCAGAGACTCTGACTCAGTTTTGTGTGGGAGGGGATTGGGCATTGTCTTTCCTTTTTTAAGTTCCCCAGGAAATTTTAATGTGCACCCAAGGCGGAGAACCAGCTCTCCTCAGAGGATTCCCGACAGCATTATGGTCGAGGGACTTCTCAAGGTCTCCCCCCAACCTGGGTCATACCGTATGTGCCGTATTTTGCTGTGTGTAATGTGCACCCACGTTTTTTAGCCCAAACTTTCAGGCAAAAAAACCCTTCCACTTTAATTCAGTTATTTATTTATATTTAGTAACAAAATCGATGATCATATTCCAGGTTATTATTTTGCATACGGATATCGTTATTGCTTTCCAGAGCTACACTTTTAATTCATTAGCATAAATAAAAAAATTAAAAACATTTGTATAGATATGGAATTAGTACTACCCATGTATAATGCATACCCTTATTTTTCCCTAAAAAATTTGGGCAAAAATTTTTTTATACACAACAAAATATGATAACTTGGCCATTCTATTGCTGCCAGTGGTCCTGGGTTGAGCTCCTGCTTTTAGTCTTATTTTGTTTTCTGGTTAATTTAGATTTCTTTGTACCTGGATCCCCAGAAGAATTTCTAAGGGATTTTGGAGGAGGTTGAAGTTGCAGCTCTCTTCCTCTGTGTCTAATATGTGCACTGTTCGCGCTACAGCTCCCCGTACCTTGCTGACAACTCCGAGTGCCTAACTTCATGGCCACGCATGAATGAAAGAGGAAATTCCGTCCCTAATTTTGTTGTAAAACTTGTGTGAGGGATTTATGAGGGAAATCGTCATTGAGAAACCAAAGGTTGTTTCACTGGAAATGCAAAAACGATAATGACTAGGGAGAGGCGGCGAGCCAGAGAGAAATTAAGGAACCCAGCGACTCATTTTACACACGCTCCCTGGGGCCGGGCTCAGCTCCCTCCATCTGCCCAAGAGCCAGGTACGTCCTTTCTCCCGCTCCCACCGAAGACCTTTTGTGTTTTGAGAATGTCGGTTTGAAAGAAGAGCTTCTATTGGGCATAACTTCCCTGGGGGTGGTTTCATTTAATTCAGTGTCTATACGGCCATGATATTGTATCTTCTACATGTTGTTTGACAGTGAGTTGATTCATTGCATTTCTGGGTTAACCTGCAAGGGCCCTGTGCCAGGAAACCTGGGGGAAATGGAAGTTTTACCAGCAGGTGTCGGATGCCTCAGGGCAGGTGGGCCCTTGATTGAAAAGATCCCCTACAGTATGTATAGGCTGTCAAAAAATTTATTCTGCCTGAATCTCATTGTTGTTTGAAAACTTTTTCTTAAAGCCTTTATCCACTGATTATAACATATCTATTTAGAGGTGGAGAAGATAGCTAATATATTTTTGGTAAATATTGATTGTTCCTAAATGTTGTTTTTGATGAGATAACAAAAGTAATGTGAATGCAGGGTGCAAACTGGCAACAATATAGAAAGTCATTTAAAAAAGGAAGCCCTTTCACTCTGCTGAATAATCTGTGGCCAGAGACGCATCAGTGCGGTGCGGCTGAGGAAACCAAGCCCAGAGGCAAGCGTCCATACATCGGGGGGCTGGGGTCTCGGGGAGGGAATGTACCCAACCGCCCTCTGCATTGTGAGTCCATTGAAAGGATCAGAGTGGCAGACTGATCTCTTGGCGGCGTCCTCCTCCGCCTTCCCCTCGCCTGGCAGCAGGTCCAGCACCTGGACGAGCCGAACGCCTAACGCGGAGGGCAAGCCCTGCGCCTGCCTGGGGAGCGCGCCTCAGGGAAGGGGCGGCGGGCAGGCAGGCAGGCAAAGGCAGGCGCAGGCAGGTTCTGAGAGCAAGCAGGAGAAGCAAACCACGGAAGGCAGTGACCTTGCCCCTTGGGGGCGTGAGAGCCGAGAAGCGCTAGATGGTCCCAGGCTGATGCTCGGCTCTGGCCAAGTGGAGCGGGGAGAAGCAGGCTGCGAGGACCTTTCACCCAGAGGGTGGAAATCCCTATTTTTTTTTCCTTCAGGAAAACACTTTACTGAGATATAATGGACATATACAAGGCTTACCTATTTAATGGACATAACTTAGTTCGGAGGTAGGCGTGCACCCTTGAAATCACTCGGGACCAGTGCCGTCAGCGCATCTAGCACCTCCCCAAGGGTTCACAGCCACTGGCGTGGTCAGCAGAGGTGTTGTCTGAAATACTCTCTGAGAATTCCGCAGCTCAAATCCAGGCCTCGCTCAGTGTCTGAACTTGATTCATTTGTGGAAATATTTCTCTTTTTTTTTTAAAGATTTTATTTATTTATTTTTAGAGAGGGAAGGGAGGGAGAGAGAGAGAGAGAAACATCAATGTGCGGTTGCTGGGGGCCGCGGCCTGCAACCCAGGCATGTGCCCTGACTGGGAATCAAACCTGCGATGCTTTGGTTCGCAGCCTGCGCTCAATCCACTGAGCTACGCCAGCCAGGGCTTCGTTTGTGGAAATATTTCAAAACCCCTCTTCCCTGGACCAGTGCAGGAGAGGGAGAGAAGCAGGAAGGGTTCCCTGGACCTAAAGCAATTCAGTCAAGTGAAAAGTTGCTCATTTGGGTTTTCTTCTTTTTCTTTTTCTTCTAAATGGCATCTTTCAAATACAGTTCACCTTCAGTATTATTTTGCATGAGTTTTGATCATTGCTGCTGTTCTGGATCTTGCTGGAATCGTCATGGAGTCGCTAGGCGCCGTGACCACTCGGTTTGGCCTTGATCTTTTCAAAGAGCTGAGCAAAGTACACAAGGGCAACATCGTCTTTTCCCCCGTGAGCATCTCCACCGCCATCGGCATGCTCCTCCTGGGGGCCCGCGGGGCCACGGCTGCCCAGCTGCGGGAGGTGAGTAGGGTGGGCTGCCTGACTTTTTAGACACAGTCTCTTTTCTGGGGTGAGCCTTCTCGAATCAATTCGAAAACGTGCTCCTCCTGACCCATGGGCCAGGAGACAAAGGAAGCGTGTGAGCGTGGAGCAGTTTCAGGTCTATCAGTCACACGGTCTTCCCTCTCCAAATTCCACCAGGCTGTCCGCTCCCTGGTGCTTGAGATTCCTTTGGGTGATAGCTGGGTGTGTGGCCCTGTCCAAAGCCATCAACCTCCTAATTAAAGACGGAGCGTGAAGAACTGTACCTACTGGGACAAGTTGCATAATCCCCAGGAGGGTACACATGACACATCAAAGATGAACACAGGCACGGCCGGGCCAGCTGGGCTCCTCTGAAGGCGGCCAGAGCTTTTCATGGTTTTGCAAGGAGGCGGATGTGACCTGTGTGCCCCTGCGGTGTCTTTAGCAAATGTCCACTTGCCCCTGACTGATGCCGTGGGAGGTTTGCTCTGCTCTGACCCCGTCATGATGTCTTCTGTCCCTTCCAGGTGCTTTTCTCTGAACAAGACACAGAAAGCTCAGGAATCAAAGCTGAAGAGAAAGAGGTGGGAGACAAGCCTGATCACCTTCACTAAGGTTGCTTTATACATGTGGGCTCCCGGGGGAACTGTGTGGAAGAGGTAATACTTATTTTTAAGCAGCAATAATCACCCCAGTGACATAATGTTACTAGGGTTGTGTGATGATAATAAACCCCGAGTATTAAGAAGAGACCTGAACTTCGATTCATGCTAACCACTATGAGGGATGCTGGAAAGGCTAACAGACTGAAAAGTCCCTACAGCAGAGTGGATGGGTTTGGAGTTAAACAGATTGGGGGTTCAAATCCTGGCCCAGTGAGTGAATAGCTGTACTGCTTTGGGCAAGTTATTCATCTTCTCTGGGCCTTTGGAAAGTGTCCAGCAGAGTGTCTGCAACACGCTGGTGACTTACCCAGTGGTGGTGGTGATAATAGTAGGTGGTATTGTTAGTACATTGTATTTTTATTTTAAGTCCCTCACCCCTGCTCTGATGTTTTATTTAAAAAAATATTAGCACAGAACTAATGTGTTCCTGGGGCTTCTTCCAGCTCTGGGGCTGAAACATTTGTCATTCAAAGGACAGAGCATGCACACGTGGGAGAGAGGTTAAGTTCATAGGTCGGGACTGGCATTTGGAGGTGGTCAGAGCTCTCAGGAAGGGCACGTCTGCCCTGACAGTTGTCACAGCGCAGTCCCAGACCCTCACAAAGCCAGGGGTCAAGTCACCCGGCCACACGGGCTGTTCATCTCACCATCCCACGCGGCCAGGTTCTCTGGGGTCCTCAGGTGTGCATGTGGAGAGTCAGGCTTCCTTCCAGGTTTTGTCAGCAGAGTTGGGTCAGATAGGGCTTCGCTGTCCCCCAGTCAATGAGCATAGCTGTTTGAGAGCATTTTTTTTGAGAGAAAAAAAAAGAACATAGATACTAGAAATTTTAAGACAGTATGTGTGGCTCATGTTGGAGGCTGGCGTTTTATTTCTGAGAGACAGCGCTCGTCCATAGTATGTATCTGGGAGGTAGGGTGTAGGCATGTTCCACTTTATCAAATGTCACCCAACATTTGCTGAAAGGATGACACCAACATCTTTTCCTCCCCGCAGTGGATACAGACCCATGTCATACAGTTGTACAGAGATGGTGGGACTGGAGATCCCACCAGCCTTACAGTCCCCAGCCGTCCATGTTCATCCATCCATCTTTCCATGCTGATAGACATATGTATATATTTTTCTGTGTCTATTGGTGATCAATGCTTTTTTTATCTGTCAACAGAATGAATTACATTAAGAGTTTCTAACATTAAGTCAATTTTGCATTTGTGGGATAATCAACTTGGTCACATTTTTAAAAAATATATACACACTATTGAATCAGATCAGGTTATACTTTGTTAGGTAGCTTTTAAAAATTTATGTTTTAAACACGATCAATCTGTGATACTGTGCTTTGTCCTGTCCTTTTCTAGTTTTGTTATCAAGGTATCTCTAGGCCATGGGGGGAGATGTTTCCTCTTTGTTATTCTCTGGAAGAGTTTGTATAAATTCAGAAACACACACCTAATATTCTGTTCAGAATCTGGGTGTAAAATTGCCAAGGCCTGGTGATTGATTGATAATTTCTGTTTCTATCATTGTGGCTACTTCAGATACTTTATGACTGGAAGCTTACGCCATTTGTGTGTGTGTGTGTGTGTGTGTGTGTGTGTGTGTGTGTGAGACTAGCTTGCTTTGTTTACCATAATGGCATTGAGATTCATCCATGTTGACATAAGTAACAGCATTTCCTCCTTTTCAAAGGCTGCATAATATTCCTTGGAATGTATTGACCACATTTTCTTTATCCATTCATTTGTTGATGGTCATTTGGGTTGCTTCCAGCCCTTGGCTGTTGTGAATGATACTACAATGAATGTAGATGTGCAAATATCCCTTTGAGATGATGCTTTGAATTCTTTTGGATATGTTCCCAGAAATATGATTGCTGGACCATATGTTAGTTCTATTTTTAAATTTTGAGAAACCTCCATACTGTTTTCTGTGACAGCCACATTATTTTAAATTCACACTAACAGTGCACAAGGGTTCTAACTTCTCTATATCCTTAGTAGACACTTGTTATTCCTTGTTCTTTCGATAGCGGCTATCCTAACGGGTGTGAGGTGATATCTCATTGTGGTTTTGAGATTTGCACGCTTATGATTAGTGATGTCAGGCATCTTTTCATATGCTGTTGACTCTTTGTATGTTTTCTTTGGAGCATTGTTTATTCAAGTTCTTTGTCCATTTTTTTCCCCATTGGGTTCTTTTTGTTGTTGTTGAGTTATAGAAGTTCTTTATATATTTTGAATGTTAACCCCTTATCAAATTTATGATTTGCAAGTATTTTCTTTCATTAAGCAGCTTGCCTTTTCACTCTGTTGACTGTATCCTTTGATGAGCAGATTTTTAATTTGGTATAATTCCATTTGTTTATCTTTGCTATTGTTGTCTGTGCTTTCGATGTCATACTCAAAGAAATCATTACCAAACACAGTTTCCTAAAGTTTACCCCTTGTCTTCTTCTTCGAACAGTTTTATAGTTGTAGGTCTTATTTTAGGTCTTTAACCTATTCTGAGTATTTTTTTTTTTGTATATAGTGTAAGGTAAAGGTCCAACTTCATTCTTTTGCATGTGGATATTAGATTTTCCAAGCACCTTTTGTCAAATAGATGTTTTTTTTTTCTCATTGTGTAGTCTTGGCACCCTTGTTGAAAATTAATTTGTCATTTAAGTGAGGGTTTATTTCTGGGCTATGTATTATTCCCATTGGTCCATGTAGCTTTCTTTATGCCAGTACCACATCATTTTGCCTGTTAAGGCTTTGTAGTATGTTTTGAAGTCCAGAAATGTGAGACCTCCAACTTTGTTCTTCATTTTCCAGATTGCTCTGGCTACTTGGGGTCCCTAGAGATTTCATATGAATTTTAGGATTTTCCCCCATTTCTTAAAAAAATGCCATTGGGATTTTGATAGGGATTGCGTTGTGACTACACAGCACTTTGGGTAGTACAAATATTTTAACTGTATGACATCCTCCAATCACTAGTATGGGCTATCTTTCCATTTATCTGTATCTTTAATTTTTTAAAGCAATTTTTTTTATAGTTTTCAGTGTACAAATCTTTCACCTCCTCAGTTAAGTTATGCATAAGTATTTTATCCTTTTTGATACTTTAGTAAATGGAATTATTTTCTTCTTTGGATTGGTCATTGCTAATGTATAGAGATGTAACAGATTTTGAATGTAGATTTTGTATTCTGCAACTTTGCTGAATTAATTTGTTAGTAATAACATATTTTTTTGTGGAATCTTTAAGGCTTTTTACATATAAGATTATGTCATCTGTGTATAGACATTATTTTACTTCTTTTATTTTTAATTTGCATCTCTCTTTTTAAAAATTATATTTAATTGATTATGCTATTACAGTTGTCCTGACTTTCCCCTCACTGCCCCCCCTCCACCCAGAATCCCCCACTCCCTCAGGCAATCCCCCCATTATTGTTCATGTCCATGGGTCTTACGTACAAGTTCTCTGGCTACTCCATTTCATATACAGTACTTTACATCCTCATGGCTGTTCTGTAACTACCTATTCATACTTCTTAATCCCCTCACCTCTTCACCCATTCTCCCCTGCCTGCCTCCCATCTGGCAACCATCAAAATGCTCTCTGTACCCATGATTCTGTCTCTGTTCTTGTTTGCTTAGTTTGTGTTTTTAGATTCAATTGTTGATAGATTTGTATTTTTTGTCATTTTGTCGTTCATAGTTTTGATCTTCTTTTTCTTAAATAAGTCCCTTTAACATTTCATATAATAATGGTTTGGTGAGGATGAACTTCTTTGTTTTTTTCTTGTCTGGGAAGCTCTTTATCTGCCCTTCGATTCTAAATGACAGCTTTACTGGGTAGAGCAATCTTGGCTGTAGGTCCCTGCTTTTCATGACTTTGACTATTTTTTTGCCAATTCCTTCCAGTCTACCAAGTTTCTTTTCAGAAATCAGCTGACAGTCTTATGGGAACTCCCCTCTAGGTAACTAACTTCTTTTCTCTTGCTGCTTTTACAATTCTCCCTTTATCTTTAAACTTTGGCATTTTAATTATGATGTGTCTTGGAGTGGGCCTCTTTGCCTCCATCTTGTTTGGGAGTCTGTGTTTCCTGGACTTGCGCGTCTATTTCCTTCACCACATTAGGGAAGTTTCCTTTCATTATTTTTTCAAATAGATTTCCAATTTCTTGCTCTTTTTCTTCTCCTTCTGGCACCTCTATCAAGTGAATGTTGGACCTCTGGAAGTGTCCCAAAGGCTGCTTTATACTATCCTTATTTTTTTAGATTCCTTTTTCTTCTTGTTGTTCTGATTGATTGTTTTTCGCTTCCTTGTGTTCCAAATCATTGATTTGATTCTCGGCTTCATCCACTCTACTGTTCTAAGTGAATTCTTTGTTTCGCACTAGATCTTTTTTGTGCAGCTGAGGTCCTCACTAAGTTCCTTGAACATCCTTATAACCAGTGTTTTGAACTCTGCATCTGATAGATTGCTTATCTCCATTTCATTTAACTCTTTTTCTGGAGTTTTGATCTGTTCTTTCATTTGGGCCATGTTTCTTTGTCTCCTTGTTTTGGCAGCCTCTCTGTGTTTGTTTTTATGTATTAGGTAGAACTGCTTTGACTCTGTGTCTTGCTATTGTGCCCCAATGTAGTAGGTGTCCTATAGGGTCCAGTGACACAATCTCCCCTATCACTCAAGCTGGGTACTCAAGGTGCACCTTTCATGTGGGATGAGTACACCCCCCTCTTGTAGATGAGCCTTGGTTGCTGTTGGCAGATCAGTGGGAGGGATTTACCCAGGGCAGTCAGTTGCAAGGACTGGCTGTGACCACTGACCACCAACCTCTGTCCTCTGTGGAGGATCAGCTATAGAGGGACAGGGTGGTAGTGCTCTGATGTGGTCTGTGGCTATCCAGTGGGTGCACTGGCCCTGGGATTTCCCAGGTGGTGCAGGCCAAGATCAGCTCCCATCTATGTTTTGCCCAGGGCCAGCTTGCTTGAGCTATAAATCAATCTGAGATGGCTGCTACTCATGCTGGGCTTGGAGATTCCTAGGCAAAGCCAAGCTGTGAATTGAGGCTGGCTGCTGCTGGTGCTGGGCCTGGGGCTCACTGAAGCTGGCTGTTGCTTGTTTGATAGGATTTAGGAAGTTGGGAAACAAACGCCAGGACCAGCCATTCATATAGGAGAGCAGCATGGGTGGGCCTGTAAGTTGGGTGAGGCAGAGTCTCTGGGGATCTCCAAGACTAGTCAAATAGTGTTAGCCAGGTTGATGGAGTCTCAGACGTGGTACCAGCTTGCTGGCTCTGTGGGGGGAGGGTTTAGAAAAGGGACAATGACCTCAGTTCACCTTGATGCCAGACACTTCAGTTTCTCCCTGTGTACCACTGCTGCCTTTCAAGCTGCTGCCCCAGTGCTGGAGCTCAGTGGGAGTGAGTCTGAGTAGGTGAGTCTTTGTGGGTTCTTTATGAGGAACTGCTCAGAGTTCCAGTAGTTTCTTGTACTGACTCAATCCCTGCTGGTGTTTGCACCCAGAAGTTGTGGGGACTTACCTTCCTGGCACTGGAATCCTGGGCCGGGGGGCCTGGTGTATGGCTGGTACTCCTTGCTCCCGAGATAGCCCTCCCGAATTTTTATCCACCACATGTGGGCGAGGAACCAACCTGTTCCGCGTCTGGATGGGTGTGATTTCTTTCATTCAATAGTTGTCAGACTTCCATTCAACTCATTTCTGATGGTTCTGAGTGATGGTTGTTTCATATTTTAGTTGTAATTTTGATATGGTTGTGCGAAGAGGTGAGCCATGTCTTCTTATGCTGTCATCTTGACTGCATTTCTCTTATGTTATCTTCTTCCCCAGTTTCTATGGGTAGGACTTCCTATGCTGAATATGTCAAATAGTAGTGGTGAGAGTCAACATCTTTGCCTGATCTTAGAAGAAAAACTTTCCTTTCACCATTGAGTGTGATATTATCTGTGGGCTTTACATACACGGCTTTTATTATGTTGAGGCTAATTTCTTCTATTTCTAGTTTGTTGGGCGCTTTTATCATGAAAGGGTGTTGAATTTTGTCAAATGCTTTTTCTACATCAGTTGAGATGGTCATGTCGGTTTTGTTTTTTTAATGTTAATGTATTGTATTACACTGATTGAGTTCCAGAAGTTAAACCATCCTTGCATTCCAGGTGTAAATCCTGCTTGGTTATGATGTATAACCCTTTTAATGTGCTGTTGAACTTGATTTGCTAGTATTTTTTTGAGGATTTTTGAATCAATATCCATCGAGTATTGGTACCTAGTTTTCTCCTCTTATGCCTTTGTGTGGTTTTGGTGTTACGGTGATGCTGGTCACATGGAATGAGTTTTGTAGTGATCCCTCCTCTTCAAGTCTTTGGAAGACTTTAAATATTTGGTAAAATTCTCCAATGAAGCTATCTGGTTCTGGACTTTTCTTTATCAGAGGGTTTTGATTATGGATTCAGTCTTCTTACTAGTTATTTCTGTTCACTTTTCTTCATCATTAAGTCTTGGTCAGTTGTATATTTCTAGAAATCTGAGATGTCCACTTAGGTTGTTGATTTAACTTCTTCCTTTGATTGAGTCATGTTTCCTCATTTCTTTGGCACTTCGGCATTTGGAAACTCAGCCATACAGGAAAAACTTTTTAGAAGGAGGCTGACTAGAGATTTTGAAGATGTCTTCTTTTAAAAAAAATTTAAAACTTTATTGCATTTCAAATCACCACTATACAACTTAATTCTGGCCTCGATGTCCAGTTTTGGAATGAGGAGCTGCAAACAATTAGGGTTTGTCTACACATTTAGGGGGATGAGCCAACTAGGGACTTCAGTAAAAGTTGGTTGTAATTGTTGGAAAAACCCATTGAGAACCGAACTGGTCCTTGGTTGTCAGCAATCGCTACTTTTTAATCAGGAGAAATGCCAGCAGCAGGATGGAAGATCTGGAGAGTGGGTCACAGGGTTGCCCGACTCAGGAGCCGGAAACTGGGATGGCAGCTCAGCCCATGGAGAGGATCTAGGGAAAAACAGCGGGCTGGGGAACTCTAGAGGCAGAATGGTTCTTTCACTCCTTAAGCCCCCCTTTCCCCAAACCTCTTGGATGCTTTCCTCAAACCAGGTGGGGACGTCTTAAGTGTTTTCTGGGGATGCATTTTCTCTGGGCTTGTGTGCCTGTAATCTAATTGGAGAAGTTTGTGGTGTCTACTCAGGATCTCCCCCCTGGTGTCTGTCTGTGGTACTTCAGATTCTGGATTCACCTTTTTTTTTTAATTTATATTTTTTATCAGACTGATTATGCTATTACAGTTGCCCCAGTCACTTTTTAAAAACCCACTGCCTTGAACAGATATTGCTAAACTTGAAGGGGATAGAAGCCATCTAAGGAATCACCTCCTTTCCTCAGGTGCTTAGTGTTGTGAGAAGCTAAAAGGAAGCATATGAGACATTTCGAGGGCAATTACATTTGAGATGAAAAATGCAACCTGAACTAGAAAACCAGATCTGTGTTGTTGGGCGCAGGAGCGGGCTTCTGTGTGGAGCTGGGATTGCTTGCGACTTACATTATCATCTGATTTGTGTCAAAGCCCCTGACATCAGGGGCCACGCTAACCTCACCGGCCATCCTCAAGGCTGTCGAGCTGAGGGAAGGAGCCAGCAACCATGTCTTCTTGGGGCAGAATCTGGGTTTGCTTTTGCTCAGATAACTCACTGAGTTTTTGTTTTGATTTTGAAGATTGAGAAGACAGAAGAGATACACCACCAATTCCAAATGTTTCTGAGTGAAATAAACAAAGTCACTAATAATCATGAACTGAAAATAGCCAACAGGTTGTTTGGAGAAAAGACATACCTTTTCCTTCAAGTAAGTTTTGCTGTGTCCACCGCCTCGGTGAGGTATTTGTGAGTGGCCGATGGCCCTGTTGGGACTGTGGGTCCTGGAGACATGTGGCCTCTGTGGGCTGCCTGGCCTGGCCTGGATCCCTTGCTGTCCCCACTGCCTGTTTTTCCAACATCCAGGCCCTTTGAGAGCTCCTTTTTAACCTTGAAAGTTGAATTCTGATTTTTGCTTTAACTCTCCTGTACCTGCCTCAATGTACATGTGCATGGAAATACTCAAAATGATTTGCCCCGATCCTCAAAACCCCTGCTTACCACGTTGGTGATCTTGATGTACTGCTAAACTTATTTAGAGATGTTGGCAATGGATAAAGTGAAATTCACCCTCTTTCTATTCCTTCCCCGTTTCTCCTAAAGAAATACTTAGATTATGTTGAAAAATATTACCATGCTTCTCTGGAACCTGTTGATTTTATAAATGCGGCAGATGAAAGTCGAAAGAAGATTAATTCCTGGGTTGAAAGCCAAACACATGGTAGAGTATGGATGGGTCGTTCATCATAAAAATGCTTCTTGAGCGCCCGCTGTGAGTGAAGCCCCAAGCTTGGTGCTGCGTAGGGTGTGTGGGGGGGTGGGGACGAGCTCCGGGAGGAGCCTTGGTAGGGATTTTTCAGGGTTGCAAAGGCAGCTTGGGCGTGAGGAGTGGGGGAAGGCCCTGCAAATAGTTGAGAGAACTGGGGAGGGGTTCCTAGAACATGGGAGGACTTGGTGGAGAACTATTTACATGTGGTTGTGGATCACGCTATCTCGAGGCCCCTAAAACTGGGCTCACGTCTCTCTGGGGTTCACGTCCTTTTCTTTATATCACACCCTTTCTTTCCAAGTCTGGGTCCTTCAGTTTAAATGTCATAGAGGGGTTCCTTCCTCTTTATCAAGTGAGAAACATTTGGCTCTCCCATCAAGAGCTACTTTTGTTACCTACAGATGGGCCTGCCTAGGGCTGCTGGAGCAACATGTGGGATTGATAACTTGCAGCCCCATGCGCAGCAGAGAACTTGACTAAGTCTCCCTGCCTCCTCCCCTCCCCATTTCCTACCTAGTATGAGCCCAACACACAAGAAACACCAGGGAGGAGAGGAAATAAGCAAGTACTCTCTGGGGGAGGGTGATAGCTGATACTTCGGTGTTAGAGTTTTAGATCATATTTTTTATTCTAGTTATCCAGAAGACACCTGTTATTTCAGAGTACATTTTTATTCATAGTTAGTCCAAAGGAAAAGCAGTGGAAAGAAAGCAGGAAAAAAAGTGTCAAAAAGTTAGCTTAAGGCAGCATTCTTTAGAGTTTAGTGCGAGATGGGCTGAAACCAGAGACAAAAACATGAGCTCCTTTTCCAATAAAATAAGAATCTGGAAATCTCCGGTGGTAACTCTGTGAAGTGGGTAAAAATAGTAAGAGCTAACCTTTGCCGAGTGCTTTATTGGGAGGTGGATAGTGATCTACATTCTGTTCATGTATTAGATTATTTACTCCCTTCGACCACCCTATTGGCAGGTTTCATCCCTGTTCTACAGATGTGGAAACTGAGGCACAGAGAGCTTAAATAACTTGCCCAAGGTTCCTCTGCTGATAAGACGCAAAGGGGATGCTCACAGAGGCCGTCTGATCTCAGAGCCTGAGCTCTTGAACCTTCACACCCCAAGCCATCCCATGGAATATGTAGGCAGTGGGCAGTGAGATCGTCCTGTGAAGCCTTTGTAGGCGGGGCCTGCCGGTGCTGAGCTGGCTCAGGCTTTGGTGGCCAGTGAAGTCCACCCACACCGTGTCTACCATGCATATCGCGTGTAATTTCCACAACGGGCCAACTTGGTGGTGGTGGTGGTTTGTTTGCAGAGAAAATCAAGGACCTGTTTCCAGATGCTGCTCTGAGCAGCTCCATCAAGCTGGTGCTGGTCAACGCCGTGTATTTTAAAGGGCAGTGGGACAGGGAGTTTAAGAAAGAACATACCAAGGAGGAGGAATTCTGGCTGGATAAGGTATGGTCCTTTATACCTGGGGCATGCTTATACACGGGATGCAAATTCTGGCAGTGGACTTCAGTCGTGGCACGGGGCGGACAGCAGATGCTGAGTGGGAGGCTCTGAGCATTAACACGGTTTAGGTGGAGCGCATGATTTTGGTGAGCGCGCCTGGTTGTCTTAGGCCCCTTTTGACATGCTGTGCTCTGCTCACTTGTTGCAGGACACGAGTAAACCGGTGCTGATGATGACCCAGCGCCACACCTTTAGCTTCGCTTTCCTGGAGGACCTGCAGGCCAAGATTCTGGGCATTCCCTATAAGAACAGTGAACTAAGCCTGTTTGTGCTGCTGCCCAATGACATCGACGGCCTGGAGAAGGTAAGGCCTCGAGTCTCCCCATTCTTGCTGTCATTTTCGGAGGCTCTGCGTCTCAGAGCTTGTTCTGGGTGGGCCTGGACGGGGGTGGGGGGGCGCTTCTGATTCGGAGCCGGTGTCTGGCAGCACCCTGTGGAAATATTTCTGAGTCTGCGCAGGATGTCTAACGAGGAATCATCAATGTCATGAGGTTTACAGAGAACCACCAGCATTAAGATATTTGGGAATGAGCTAAAATGTTCATTAAGGTCACAGGGGGATGGTAAAGATTGCCCCACATTCTGAGAAATGGTTGATTATCTAGGCACCATTTTTTCCCAGAAAAAAATCACATGTGCACATATTCAGCAAATTTTGCATGCTATTCAGATCTTCTGAAAACTTTTAGACCTTCAATTTTAAAAAAGTTTTAGGTTTATGACAAAATTGAGAAGATACAGAGATTTCCCATTCACCCCCGTGCCACACAAGCATACCCCCCACATAATCAACCTCACTTATCAGAAAAGAATAGTATATATATATTTAAAACCAAGATGGACCTACATTAACACACAGTAATCAAAGTCCAAAGGATCCTTAATCTTGTACCCCTTGATTTAGTCCTACCCACTTTTCTATTAAAGTATTTAGTAGCATTATGTCCTTTGAAGCTAATTAACTCCCTTGAACCTCGATATTTTCCCACCTGTGAAATGGGCTTCACAGTTTTAATGTGTAGTGGTATTATAATGACTAGATACCATACTCCATCTCTATCCCTATAACACACACAGACAGCATCAGTATTATAATAGTACAGCACCTATGATGTATATTATCGTAATACTGGATGCTGTTCTGTTGCTGTAGGACATAGCTAGTAGCCTTCATGATCCGTCAGAAATACTTGAGGACAGCAAAGTGGCGGTATGTAGAAAAACTTAAAGAGCATTCCTGCCCTGACTCAAAAACCCCAGTTGTGGAAATTATCCTAGAGAAATAATTTGGAAGAAAAAAATTGTCTGAGTCAAATTACTAATTTCTGCATTCAATATACTAGGACATGTAGTTTGACATTCATCATGATAATTATTTTTGTATCTACACAATCAATCCTAATGTGTGATGTGTACTAGATACTTGTAAAAGAATGGGTTAATGTTGGGTAAAATTGATCAATTTGATGAAAATATCTATCAGTTTGAAGAAATTTTGGAGAGAGGTGCAGCAGTGTAAAAAGTTTACATTAGAATAAGGAAAATAGATATTCACTGTGATTGCAACTATGTGAATATGTATTTTTATATGTAAATATATTAATTATGATGTTATATATTTATACAAACATATCTTATCTTAAAAATTATATATAATATATTGCATACAAAGACATGGGGGGAATAGTCAACTGTGAAATAATATGTAGGAGAAGTTACATTTTTCATCTTTAAAAATTCTCTAAACGCTATTAACTTTTCATATACACCCAGTTCATTCAAATAGAGAAATATAAGGCAAGTGCCTGCTACAGAAAGACAGGTCTGGTGAAAATGAACTTTCTGCTTTTGTCACTGAAGTTCATGATTTCTGACTGGTGCAAATCTGTGTTACACTCTCCCAAACTTTTGTTGATAATCGTGCCATTCTCCCCCACCTTTTTCTTAACAGATCATAGACGAAGTCAGTCCCGAGGAGCTGGAAGAGTGGACGAGGCCGGGGCAGATGGCGCGGAGGCCGGTGGACCTGCGCCTGCCGCGGTTCGCCCTGGAAGACAGTTACGACCTGAAGGCGCCGCTGGCCGCCTTGGGGATGCGGGAGGCCTTCAACGAGCACCAGGCGGACTATTCGGGAATGTCCCCCCGCTCAGGGCTGAGTGCCCAGAAGTTCTTGCACAGGTCCTTTGTGGTGGTGACGGAGGAAGGGACTGAGGCCACAGCGGCCACCGGGGCGAGCTATGGGGTGTCCTCAGGGCCCAGCTATGAAACTGTCCACTGCGATCACCCGTTCCTGTTCCTCATCAGGCACAACACGTCCAACGGCGTCCTCTTCTTCGGCCGATTTTCCTCTCCTTAGGCCGGCCACTGGCTTGGCAGGAAACCAGCGCGGGAGTGTTAATACGACTATGGAAATAGCCCATTCTTTAAAAAAAATGTTGCTTTTCTTGCTTGCATTCCAATATTACCACCAAATTGATGACTTAATGTTTGCACTGGGTGTGTGTGTGTGTGTGTGTGTGTGTTTATAATTTTCTTTCAAAGTGAAATGTCCTTTTGCTTGTGTTACGTGTAAAGTGAGTTAAATCAAGGCTCATTGTAATATACCGTTGATTTCTTCTGAAGGTAAATTAATGACTTGTAGTTTTATGCACGAATGAAAGAAATAGCCTTGTTGGTAAAGGCTATGGAATAGTGATTTTGGGAGTCCCTCCAGTTCTAATATTTTGGCCGATGATAATGCACAAGTAAAATAAAACAATAATTTACTCAACTCATGCGTAATTTTTTTCCTTTCTTAGCAAATAGTATAGCAAACTGCACATAGGAAAGAGAATTTAGAAACACACAGGTGGAATGTAAATTAAAACTCAAAAAGCCAGAATGAAGTGAAGCAATATACCAGGCAGAGAGGGTGCCCATGTTTTCACCCTCTGTTCTAACAGAGTGCAGTATTCATGGTCAATTGCATAAGCATCTTGATAATGTGAAATCAGTGCGATCATAAAATAAGATGTGCTCACTTTAATCCTAGAACTTGATGAGTTTAAATTTTTTTTTTTCTTTTTAAACATTGATTCCAGAGAGAGGAGAAGGGAGGGAGAAAGGGAGGGAGGGAAACATCATTCTGAGAATCAGTTCCCTCCCTCACACGCCCTGACTGGGGAGCGAACTGCAGCCTGGGCAGTGCCCTGACTGGGAATGGAATCTTTGACATTTTGGTTTGCGGGACAATGTCCAACCAGCTGAGCCACACAGGCCAGGGTGAACTTGATGAGTTTTGATAAATGTGTACACCTGTGCGAACGCCACCACACCCAACATACAGAACATTTTCATCACCCGCCAAGGTTCCCTTGTTCTGTTTCCCTGTCAACCACCCCACACAGCCCCAGCTCATGCAACCGCTGACCTGTCTTCAGTCACTACAGGGTAGATTTGTCATTTCCAGGGTTGCATTCAAATGCATTTGTATCCTATGTTCTCTTTTGTGTCTAGCTTTTTTGGATGAGCACCGAGATCATCAATGTTGTTGGGATATCAGTAGTTTGTTACCTCCTATTGACAGACAGTATTCCATTGTATGGGTAAGCCACATTTTGTTTATGTATTTACCCATGGATGGGCATTTATGTTGCTTCCAGTGTTTGGCTACTACACATAATACTATGACGCATATTTGGGTGTGTATGTCTTTGTGTGGACACGCGTTTTCATTTCTCTTGGGTAGGCACCTGGGCGGGGGGTGTTGCTCGGTCCTATGATATGGTGAAATTCATATGGAACTGCCAAAATGTTCTCCAACGTGGTTGTGCCATGTTCCACTCTTATGAGCAACCCAGGAGCATTCCAGGTGCTCGGCAGCCTCACCAGTGGCTGGTGTGCCTGGTGTTCTTTGCCACACCCATTCTAGTGGGTGTGAAGTTGCCCTCCATTGTGGCTTTAATTTATGTGTTTCCGTTGTGACCGGTGGTGGTGAGAGTCTTTTCACGTGCATGCTGTCCGTACACATACACCTTCTTTTCTGAAGCATCTATTCAACATTTTTGCCCATTTTTATTCAATTGTTTTCTTATGATTGAGTTGTAATTGTTTTTGATATATTCTGAATAAACGTTCTGTGTCAGCTTTATGAACTTAATTCTGGTGTCATTAAGCAGTTTTAAATTTTAACAGAGTCCAGTTCATTCATTTTTTCTTTTATGGTTTCTGTGTTTTCTCTGTCTTATTTGAAATTTTTTTGCATATCTCAAGCTTGCTAAGCCTTTCTTCTAGAACATTTATGGCACTAATGTTTACATTTAGACCTATGACTTATTGTAAATTATTGTTGAGTAAGGTTCGGGGCTCATTGCTGCTCATGCGGCCATTCAGTTGTTCCAGCATCATTTCTTGAAAAGGACCATTCTTCCCTCGATGAACTCATCGCCCTGGGGACTTCGTGGCAGATGTACGTGCGGGTCTGTTTCTGGCTCCCCTGTTCCCCTACTGACCTCTGTGTCTTCCCACCCCTGAATATGGGCCTGCCTGAGATTTGATTTGTCTAATAATATAACTGCTCAGGCTTTCATATCACTAGTGTGGGCATGGAATGTCTTTTTCTATCCTTTCATTCTAACCTAAGTGTGTCCTTACACTTACAGTGAGTTTTTACTTTTTAATTAGATTTATTGGGGTGACATTGGTTAATATGATTATATAGATCTCAAGGATACCTTCTGTGACACATCATGTGTTTATCGCATTAAGAATCGATGTCCTATAACGGGATGTTGTTGTCGTCCCATGGAGATGGAAGGGATAGACTGGTGGTACCACACACGCACCAAGGAGGGGTGAAGAGATTGATTAGTGACATAATGAGGCTTTCTGGGGAGAGCGTGGCAGGGCGCCTGGCTTTGGAGCTCCAGGAGGCCTTGGTTGCAGTTAGGGTTTGGGCTCGGCTGAGCGGCATTTTTTTGCGTCTGGTCAAGACCCTTTTGTTTGGTTTGTACTTCCCCGCAGGCGCCAAGGGAGGGAGCTCAAGGGCTTCCTTGCCAGCCAGCCCGATGTGGCTCTCGTGAACACCCACGGACTTTTGTGGGTCTAAATTCCCTCTGAGTCCGAGGCTCCTAGGGGTTCTATGCCCCGCTGCTGCCCACGCTTGGCCTTCAGCACTTGGCTGGGTCCCTGTCTTCCTCCCACGTTCTGCTCCAGGCCAGTGAGTGCTGGAGTCCTGTCTCTCTTCTTGGGGACAATCGTCTGTCCTTAGGTTTCAGGCTGGGTGGTGGCCTTGCACTCACAGCTTTGTGATGGGCTTAAGAATTTGTGTGTTATCAAGATTTTTCTTTGTTTTTTTTTTTTCCCCTGTAAGGTGGAATTAACACTCCTTCCAGCTTTCTCCATCACGGCGGAAGCTGGAGGCTCTGTGATTCCCCGGTGACTCACATCCTCTGTGCTCTCCAGCTTCCTGCTGCTGGCCCGGACTGCCTATGCCCTGGGCCAGTGATTTCCAGAGAAACTGTGCTATTTTCTGTGTTCAGGGAGAGGCTGTTTCCTGTGAGAAGTGTGTTTTTGCTGAGACCCTCTGAAATCTGTGGCTGCAGAGCCTTCTGGTCAACCCCCTTGCTTTTTTTTTTTTTTTTTTTTCTCCTTACTCACTCCAGGGCCTTCTGCACAGCCTCAGCTGTGGGGGAAGGACAAGCTTTCCTCTGCCCTCAAGGTTCTCACAGTGGGGCTTAGCATCAAATAGACCTGAGACAGAGTAGTGAATAACCAAATTTAATACATACGCACATGTGGGAATCCTGCATACATGAGAGGGTCAAGGACCCCCCCCCCCCCCCCCCATACACACAGGACAGGTTCAGGACAGGAAGGGAACAGGGGGCACTAAGACATCTTGAGCTAGGGATGAGGTACGATGAGTTGGGGGCTTCGAAGGGTCAATACAGGATGATAAGAAGAGCAGATCCTTAATAGGTAGAAAATGGTCCCGTCCTACAGACAGGTGGAAAGAAGTTGTCTCTGATGATGTCCCATGGAGGGCAAGGTCCCCAATTCAAATCCTCCTAGGCAGCCAAGGGAGGGCAGAAGTTTCTCCTGAGCCCGAGGTTACAGTTGCCTTTAGCTCATAACAATCCACACACCACAGAAGCACATATTTGGGTGACTGACTCTGAACCCCACACAGCCTTAATATGAATTATGAGACCATCAATTATACCCTCCTTCTAACTTCATGGAAAAGGAAATTTACAGAGATATTTTTCTTCTTCTCTTTCTCCTTCCTCTCTTCCTCCTTTCCTCCGCCTCCTTCTTCTTGTCTTCTTCTTGCTTATTAGTATTTGTGCAGGAGAAGAGGAAAGACACTGATACACAGAGCCATGCTCATGCCACAGGCTGTCCTCCCAGAGAGCTTGGGGAGGCTCCTTCATACTTCTAGCTCTGTCGTAGCTGTGTTCTCTCTCGGCACCGCTCACTGTGGCTATCTTTGCACCCTCAGCGTCTAGACCAACGTCTGAAAATGCAAGTGTTCCCAAACCTGGCCAGTTTAAGGTTCCTGCACATCCTGTAGACAACGTTCTAACCACCAACTGATTGAGGGGGCATGGAGACAGCATGCAATGACAAGTTATCGATGGAGAATATAAAAGTGGAAATGTCTAATGCTCACGATCAGTTAGGCATGAACTCCAGTGCCATCAGTACTGGGCTTGGTGCTGACGGCCAAGGTCAAGTGCATCTGGGAGTGGGTACCCCCAGGCCTGTGAGGTCAGTGCTCTTGGAGGACAACAGATCAGTGTCTGAGGGGCAACGTGACAGGTGACATTCAGTATCAACCTGTGCAGGGAAGGACGCAAAGTAAAGAATGACAGGTGTGCAGTCATGAGGCTAGCGTGTCTGTCCCAGCTCTGCCCTGACCTAACTGTGATCTCAAGAATGGCAGTTAGTTTCTTTGGAATTTTGTTCCAAAGAAACAAATTTTCTTTGGGAAATTTTCTGTTCCAAATTTTCTTCATTTAAGCAGGAATTTTGTTCCTGTTTAAATGAAGAAAATTGTATAAATGACCTCTAATATCACTTCTGACATTATATTAGTGACTACTTGAAATGGTCCACTATCTAATTATAATGGAAAATAATGAATCCAGACATACAGAGGGAATTACGGGCAACTACTTTAGCAACAACAAAAACATTTCATTCCTGTCCATATCTAAATGTTCCTCCTGTGTGCCCACTTTAGGGTTGGACAAACAATATAAATCTGGGCTTTGGAAATAGATATATGGCCTTGGTTAGTTCCATCTTCCTGAGCTTCCATTTCTTTGTGTTAAACATTGGTTTTATAAGAGTTCTTATTTTATTGAGCTGTTGTGAGGAATAAATAGGATGCGTATTTATTAAAGAAACTGGAGCAGAGTACGCATCTGATCCATGTTGGCTGCCATTTTCTTTGCCATCGCCATCATATCGCTGCCATGGTCATTGCCACTGTCATCGTCACCAACAGCAACAGTAGCATCCTCTAACAAAAACCAAATCAAGACCACCCTGTCCTTGGCCACCATATCGGACTCTGAGCTGTTATTTCACCGGTTCTAAACTGTTAGTGGATTCCTGGTGAGAGAGGGGCATTGTCCTCACCGTCCGGTTGCCATGCCCACATCAGGGTTTGGAAGTGAGTGTGCACAGTGTGCCTCTTGAGCCCATGAAGGCCGCTCAAGAGCTCTGACTCACTAGGCTCACTCTGACTAACCCCTGGGTTTTGAAAATATTTACTTTTGATCCTATATTTATTTTGCCTTCTGCTTCTCCGAGCAAATTTTATCTCATTGCCACACCCAAAAGCTTTCACTGCAAGTGGTGTGGGCAGAATAATTGCTTCTAACATGAACGTCCTTTCCATGCCTTCCTCTGGGGATCAGCAGAACATTCCAGGACCTCTGAGCACTGGTCTAACTGCCTCATTTGTGCAGGTGTATATTTGGAGGGTGCGGTTTGGGGGTGGCAAAGGTGACTTCCCCAGTGCCACCATTTGTTCAATCCGGGGCACGCTCTGAAGAATGAGACCCGTGTTGTGACGGCCTTCATCAGTCCTGGGATGCGGAGTCCAGGACCCTCCATAGCAGCTGCCTTGGCATTGCTTCAAGGTCATGGGTGTGCAGCCCCTGCAATAACATGACTGCAGGGCAGTGAACCCATAGACAACCCTCCATTTGTCACGTGCAGTTCAGCTCAAGGTGAACTTTAGCTGAAGCCCTATTGAACTTAGAGGGTACTAAAAAACATGCAGGCTTTGCTTTTCTTAAAATTATTGTTAGGCCTGAAATATCAGTGACAACTTCCTTCTTAGAAAGGAAGCAAGTGCATTCTTCATCTCAAATGAAATGTGAATCATCTTAGGTGCTATTTTGGAGTATAAGTGTTCCCAGTTTCCACCCACCAGGACAACAATTAGCAAGGACAGAGACGATACAGCCTTGGGTGTTGAGACTCTGGAAGGCAAGGACCTGGGCTTCTGTGCCCTGGGATAGCCCCGCGCCCTGGGACAGCCCGCTTGGGAGTGCAGAACCTTGAGTGAGTCCTGGTCTCTGGGCCTATTGCAAAATGTCTTCCTGAATTTCCAAGTTTTTTTTCTGTATAAAATAAACATTGTATTTTTTCCATTGACTTATTTATTTTTGATTTAATCTTTATTGTATTTATTCCCCATTACCATTTAGTCCTCTTACTACACCCCTCCCCCAGCAATGGTTTATGGCAGGGGTGTCAAACTCATGTTCACGGAGGGCCACATCAGTCTCACAGTTGCCTTCATAGGACCGAATGTAATTTCAACTCCTTAACTGTTAAGGAGTTGTTACGTGGACACAGTCCTAAAATTATTTCGGCCCTTTGAAGGCAACCGCGAGGCTGATATGGCCCCCGGTGAACATGACTTGGACGCCCCTGGTTTACGGGCTCTTTAAGTTTTGTGGAGTTCTAGTTTTCTGACCGACCACTAGCTATTTCCTGACCGACGTTAGGTGCTCACATGTATATGTGACATTCATACTGCTAGTACAGTTCCAGACCTTGAACTCTGTCTTGATCATCAACATTAGGGCATTTTTTCTGAATTCTGGCCTGCTCGTGTGCTGAATTTTGTTTTCCTAGTCTGGCCTTCAGGAACGAAACTTCCTCCCTCCCTTCCTTCCTTCCTTCCTTTGTTCCTTCCTTCCTTCCTTCCTTCCTCTCTATATCTACAACCCACTACCTAATCCAGCATGGTACATAGTAGGTGCAGAACAATTTTTTGTTAAGAGGCCTATACTGCACTACCCAGGGTGAGGCGGATGATATATACGTTCTTGGATTTTTAAGTCTTTTCTAGTGGAAATAGAAATGAGTCCCTGTGGAAGGAATGAGAGGCTCCTGGGTGACTTAAAGGGAGTGACTGGACATTCAGTCCTTCGTCACAGAGCGGCTGACCCTGTGTGTGCTGTAGGTACGAGGCACGCGTGATTCCGACGGGGCCCCGTTCTGACGGAGTGATAAGGTGGAGGTTTTTTTTCCCAGAACAGGGTAGTATCTTTTCATGTATTCCCTTTCGTGTATACTGGCGGTCCCCGACCTTTTTTGGCACCACAGGCCGGCCAGCTTCATGCAAGGTGGGAGACGGGGCACAGGAGCCGGACTCAGGTGAGCTTCGCTAGCTTCACTGTGGAAAGTGGGGCGCAGGGGTTGGGGCGAGGCGGGGCTCCATCGAGTTTCACTTGTGGATGGAAGCCTGGGGGTGCAGGGGGCATAGGAGGCGGAGCTCAGGCGAACTTTGCTTGCAGGCAGGCTCCTAAGAGGCCAGGGACCCATAACGGTCTGCGGCCGGGGGTTGGGGACCCTGATTCATACAATGAGACAGTTTGTGGGGCTTGACTTTCATCTTCGAGGAAGAAAAAGCAACAAATAATATGAATAAGTCATCATTTTATTGGTAATGCCTTTCATAAAATAAAAGAAGATTAAACATGCAAGGGTCCCAGGTATCACCTGCATTGAAACAAATGTAGGTGGAAGGTCAATACATTCGAATAGCAGATGTAATTTTTGTGACAGCAGACACGCTATTTTAAATTTAGAAGCTAGTGTCTTGAAATATCCTTTTTGTCCCAAAGGTGGAATTATCGTAGGGAAATAAAACACATTTACATGCCTTTTGTGGGGGGAGAGAGAGAGAGAGAGAGAGAGAGAGAGAGAGAGATTATGCTTCAAGCATCCCATTCTCAGTGATGCCGGGGAGGTGGGAGAGGAAAACCAACGAGCCCCGGGGCTGCACTTGCTCTGTGAACGTGCCCGCGAGGCCGCAGTGGCCGCCCATGGGTCTAAGGGGAAGACACTCTGCCGAAGAAGAGGATGCTGTTGGTTTTGTTGTGCTTGATGAAGAACAGGAAAGGATGGTCGCAATGGAAACTTTCATAAACTCGGGATGATACTTTTATGATTTCTACGCCGGTAGCGGCTGCAGCCTTTGTGCCCTCCTCTGTCACCTCCACAAAGGACTTGTGCTGGATTTTGGACACCGCGAGCTTCTGGGCTCCTGTCATGCCGGAGAAGTCGGCGGCCAGCGGAGTGAAGGCGTCCACCACGCCCAGGGCTCTCATCACGCCCTCCAGGTCGTAGCTCTTTTCCACCTTGAAGCGAGGGAGGTGCAAATCCACCGTCGCCTCGCTCGTGTTCTGTGAGCTCGTCAACTCTATTAACTTCTCGGCGGTGAGTTTATCTTCCAGCTGTAACGATGAAAAACGGAACAGATGACTCGATTCTCAGTTAATTTGGGGAGGACACTGAACACCGTTCAACATTGGATTGAAATGTTACAGCAAATATAAATACAGGAGATTCAGTTATATGTTATATAATACACAGTGACATATCAATATATAATTATGTCTAATAAACTGAATCTTCTGTATTTTATATATTTGTGTATATGTATATATCTACATATGTATATGTGTGTGTGTATATATGTATATATATAAAATACAACAGGACCATTAAATAAAATTATTTTGTAAAAGAGGAACTATATATCTCCATTTCTTAACCGCCTGTCCACTGCATGTTTCAATTTTAAATAGTCTTTTCTAGTTAATGTCCTTTTGTACATTTTTTTTACAATTTATAACATATAACTTGTTTTTATTCTTTTTTTGTTGCTTGACTTACTTGTGAACATTTTTCATATAGCCATATATTTCTCTAATCAGGTTTAAACTGTTATATAATACTACCATTAAATTGATAGTGAACATATATTTTTAGGTAATTCATATTTTTTAAGCAATCACCATGTGCCAGTCCTGGGCTAAACTAATGGCAGTGCGAAGCTGCACTGATGTTTCTTGTTTTGCTTTTTTCATTATTTTGAGCTACTTTGATCCCATAGCTTTTGCCTTGTTTGGACTTGCCAGCATAGCGTGGATCCCAGGATGGGGGCTCCTGATGTCACTGGTGAGGAAGATTGGGAGTGGGAGGCCCACAATTGTTATGGCTGTTTACAAGTCCACCCCACCCATGACAGTCCCTGCAGGCTTCCCATGGCCAGTGTCGCCACACTAGATGCTATATTTTGAGTGTGGCAAGTTCGCTGCAACTTCAGCAGCAGCATCGGCTATTGTAGTGATTGCAGGTGGCCATTTTTGGAATGTCCTCCATATGCCAGATGTTGTTATTGATATTTTTACACATTCTCTTTCATCATCATAGCAATGCTAAGAGAAAAATGCCCTTTTTTTCCCCTGGCAAGAATGAGACTCCAAATGACTTTGAGCTCCCCCTAGGGGTAGACCACTTTTAAACTGAGAAGCGAACATCAAGGTAAATCTCCTTGTCTGCTGTCCGTGAACCCACTGTGATTCAGGATGCAAAATGGTATCCATTGGTGCTTTGCTTTGCTTGCTTTTGTTTATGGGAACTTGCATGTATTTTCCACATGTCACCTACATCAAAGTCTTAGTTTCTGTGTCTTCACATTGAATAAACTGGAATACAACAGTGGTTCTTACGGTTATGAAATATTCTATCTGTGTGCCAAGGTATGTATATATGTATTTTTCTGAACTAACACTCATGGTTTCATCAGAATATGAACAGGATCCGTGATGTTAAAGTTTTCTATTATCTTCCTCCATATCCCACTGTGATAGTTAAGATATTTATTCATCTATTTTTTACTTTGGAACATGACAGAATATCCAGGTGCTCCTTGGGCTGTACGCCGAGAAGAAGCAATGTAATGAATTCTTGAGCCCCACTGGACACCACCCACGAGCTGTGGGTGCGGCCTCCACGAACAGCCCACACAAGTGCCGTCCTACTAGGACAGTGGGCGATAGAGGGAAGAATCGAAGGCACGAGATTTTACCTGCTGAAGACCATCTATTTCATTGGGCAGCAGCAACACCATGCTCAGGTCTTTGTCCTTGTACGGTATCTCCAGCACCTTAGCCGGGATGTCCTCCAGCTCGGTGAAGATAAAGCGGCCTTCTTTCTTCATCATCTGCACAGGCTTGCTTGTGCCCTGTGGTGAGTTAGCGTGGCAGACAAATGCCAAGGGAGACGTCAGTTAAAGAAGAAAAGATCATATTATTGAGATAAACAAACTCATCCTTTTTGTAAGAGATAACCTGGGACCTTTGTGAATTGGAGAGAAGAGTTTCTGTAAGTGTTCCTCACTAAATAAAGTAAAAAGAAAAGCCAGCTGTGACAAATTCTATTGTCTACCTGCAGCTGTACATTAATCAAATAGGTGTTGAAATGGAACACTCCATGGATAACTATGTTTTGTTCTAGAAATAAATTAATGGGCAATACCTTGTTCAGCCAAAATTCACCCTGCTTGGTTAATTCTGGGTCAAATTTGTCATTCCACTGCCCTTTGAAATAGATGGCGTTCACCAGAACCAGAACAGTGCTTTTGTCAAGAGAGCCTTCAGGAAAGAGGTCCTTGATTTTTTCTACAAAAGAAAAACAAAGGTCTGTCATGAAAGGTACACGTGGTTTATCTGGAAGATGTTTTGAAAGTTAAAGTGATCATTAGTTATTCACACAAGTCATCACGTTTGGGATTCTGTGGCCAAAGACCACAAGGTACAGCTCTTCTCATGGGCCCAGCCTGGTGGAGACTTCCCCGCGGGGGAGATAACACCCCTTCTGATGATTCAGAAGGCACCCGGGGTCTCTGTGGCACCTGCAGCCTTCTCACGCTGAATACCGGTGAGCTGGTTTGAGCTGCACTTCCAACACAGGCATTTCCTCCCTCCCTTCCTTCTTCCTTTTCTTCCTCTGTTCTTCCCTCCGCCTTCCCATTCTAGTCTTCTTTTCTTCCTTCCTTCTTCCTTTCTATTTTTTCAAATTTAGGCTCACCACTCAGAGGAAATAGGGCCTGAATATTCTTTAGGGTGAAGGACATGAGCTCAGTAATCTCAAACACATGCTCGGGACAGTCAGCCACCACCCCCCCGGGGGGTCCTCGTCCTTCGCCATGTCGAACTGCTGCACTTTTAGCCTAGACCGCAGGTGGCAGGGAGGACAAGGTTCATCAGATGGAGACCTTGTCAAGCTCTCTGCTGTGGTCAGGGAAGAAACTGTGGGGGTGGCCAAGTGGGCTAGGCAGGTGGCATAAGGGAATTTATAGGACAGCCTTTTGTCTTCCAGTTAACAAAGAACAAGGGCTCCCTTTCTAATATTTCCCCTTAAGGATCATCATCCATAAGTTAAGCCTCTGACTTAAAGTAATAGATATGAACCCAAGACGGGGTCTGAGCAGAGACCTGGGGTCCACAAAGATGCCGTCAATCTCCAGCTGTGTTTCCATGCAGCTGGTCTTGTGTGCTCTCTTGGGTCCCCTCGTTTCTTTCCACATGAACTTGGGCCATCCCACCATCTGCAGGACCCTCCTGCAGCCTCTCTGTGAACTCACCGGACCCCCATCTGGGTACCCCACGTAGTGCCAGGCATGTGGTTCATGCACCGCGAGTGGGGACTCAGAGTGGCTTTTCATGGGTGCCCCTCTCATACTGTACCTTTTGTTTGGCTTTCCACCCAGGAATTAATCACCTTCCGGCTTTCTTCTGCAGCATTTTCAAAATCAACAGCTTCTGCGCCGGCTAGGTAAAATATGTTAGCATTGTCCATGTATTCCTTGGATGTGGGAAGGAAGAAAGGGGGGATTAATTTATCAGGAACTGTGTATCTCCAAATTAAATGATGTGTAATCCCGACCAAACACAGTACATAAAATCACCCCTAAACCTACACCTTCATGGGCAGGTTGTCAGACTCAGGGACACTTAGGGGGACAGGGCTGTGGTGGGGGTCCAGACACACCCTGAGTCAATGATGCCTGGGTGGGTCAGCCAGGCTCAAGGGACTCACTGTCCCCAGTTTGGTCACTGGGGACAGAGGATCCAGGACGCAGATGGGAGGTGTGGCAGACCCGTGAACCTTACCTGAAGAAATGGAAACTTCTTTTCTGCGTAGAGCCTGTTGGCCAGGTGTAGCTCATAGGCATTAGTGGGTTTACTTAGTTCAGTCAGGAGCTTTTGAAATTGCTGGTGCACATTCCCCGACTTCGTAACCTTCAAACATCAAAAAGCGAGCTTGCTGAATTCTCTGTCAACGGAAGTACTAAACCCATGTACTTCACTCTGGTAGAGCCATAGCTAACGTTCGACAGCCCCAGGGGTGACTGGTGCTGTTATCCTCTGCTATTCAGTGTACTGGACCTCAAATATCCTTCCTAATCCTTCCATGTAAGCATTCAGAATTTTTTTCTTCCTGCTCCTTTCTCCCGAGAACTGCAGAGGCAGCACCATTTCACTGTCGGGTTGTGTTTTGATGGGTTCAGCGGTTCAGCTTAGCTTTCCAGCTAAACTTAAGTTCCTCGAGGACTAGACCGAATGCCATTGCTAGCAGCCCTCAGTGGTGTGAGAAGGCTAACCTCGTATATTTTCACGTGCTCTGGCATGAAGCCCTACTACACTGCGTGGCATATTAGCTCCTAAGACCCACTGGCTGTGCTCTGTGCTCTTGACTCGCCACAGTTCTAGCCCAAGGGCAGGAAAGGTGTGCGCCTGGTGCATTACCAAGGGCTTTCACACCCCTGTCTCAGAGTCTTTAGTCTAATTCAGCTGAAAACAAGAAGCACAGAGAGTTAGATAACTTCTCCAAGGAGATGTAATGTCACGGAGCCAATTTTTGAAACTAGGCTTATCTGAATCCAGAACCTTCTACTTGCTAGTTTAGAGTTTTGAACTATTATGGCTGTGAGCCATATTTCTCATACAATCATTTCCCCCAGATACTCAGTTGTACCTTTATTTTCTTAGTCCCATTTAGGAGTTAATTAAAATTGTGATTTTTAGCAATGTTATTGCGATTCCTAGAATTGTTGTTATTCTGTAATAGTAATAACACATTTCTACCAAGGTTTCCTACAATTCAGGCACTGTTGCAATGTTTTGAATATATTTTCATGAACGGGGGCAGATCTTTGATGCCTCTAAATTCATGGCTCAGAGCAGTCGTATGTAGCCAACAGCCACCAGGGGTGAACAGCAGGGCACAAACGCGAAGATGGCATTTTGGTCGCGGAACCTATGCTCTTAATCGCAATGCTGACCTCCCCTCAGGCAAACAAACATATGAAATAAATAAATATGTAATATGAAATAAAAAGCAATGCTGCTCGTCCAGTCTATTTTGGCCAAGATTTCCCCTAAAAATGGACTTTTGCCAGTTTTTGTGAAATTCCCAGTTTAGGCAGGGACTCTCTCGGACAGCGGATGCGCCCCCTAGCCCCAAGTGCTGAGTGACTCACAGGAACTGTCGTGGCTCCTCCTTTTGTGCTGTCTGTGACTTCATTAAAGTGAAGAGCCTGGAACAGAGAGCAAGGGAGACAACAAAACTTTACTCAAACGATCTGTCTGCATCAGAGGAAATTAAGAGAAGAAAACAAAAACTAAACACTGAACTAAAAAGCAAAACCAAACCCCCAAACCAAACCAAACAAAGAAAAAAGAATGAAGAAAACTTCATTCTTGAAGTGTAAGAATGAAGAGTTTGCTCCTTGAGAAAACACAACCAAGCTGGGTTATAACCAACTGCTTCAAGGAATCCAGTTCACATTCATCCACTGCTGAGGACACATGTGATGATGTTTTCCATGGGTTTGAGTCAATGCATCCCTTCTACCCATAATTCTCTGTTTAAGCCTCACCTCTGGTTGTTGGGCAATGGTAGGGGTTCACCCCAGCTCCCAGAGGAAGTCTGGGCATAAGGAAGCGGTTGGGCCAATCATAGGAATACGCGCTGCCCCTGTGCTACCCGTGGGGACAGCCAGACCCGTGGCCATCTCTGTGCACAAGCCGACAGAGCGACCACCCCCAGCTGGTCAGCGTAAAGAACACGGACACATACCTTCTGAATTTCTGATGCAGTGTTTCCTTGGGCCCCTAAGTAAGTCATGGCTATGGCTGCTGAGATACTGAACGGAGAACAGAAGATATTTCCCTTCTCTGACTTTCTCAGCTGTTGGAACAGGTCAAGTGCGAAGCGGGTGTTTGCTTCACTGAGGGACTTCATGGTGACGTCGGTGTGAACCGGTGCTCCTGGGAAAAGCAGAGAGTTATTACAGAGTGACTTCCCCAGACAGACAGAGGGTTTCCGTGTGTGATGAATTTTTCTTAAAGACATGACTTCTATTTGGGTTTTAGGATTCTGGCAACTCAAGTGGCTCTTTTTACTTCTCACACCTTCTATAAGGTACATGTGTTAACTTCATAATTAGAAGACTAGCACAATGATCACTTTGAGCATTTTGTGAGAAAGGAAGAGAACATCTTTATCTTTTCTTTGTCATCGGCTGCACCGTGTCTGTGTGGAAAAGGCTTCATAACAGGTGCCAAGGTCATGGTCCACGTGGACAAAGTCATGGTCCATGCGGACGACGTCCAGCCAGCTCTCCCGAGGCACCTCTCTGCCTTTGCCTTCAAGGCTATGTGTTTGCCTTTGCCCACAAATGCTCCTAAGAGCATGTTTGTTTTATTGGGAGATGAATTTGTTAAAGGACAAACCAAGATGAAGAAGGTGTTGGCACTTTGCCCTGGCAGAAGTAAAATCCCCTCACCCAGAATGAAATATTTCAATACATGTATAATAGAAAACACACCATTGCTATTATTTCCCCAAACGATTCATGTTGTTAAGCTGGAGCAGCTGGAGCACTTACCTGTGTTCCTGGAGGAAGGAGGTGGGCAGGGAGTCTGTGTGTGGTGAAGGGTGAGATCCTGAATATATACACCTCTCCTGCCCCACCTTTGAATAGTTGCTGTTGCAAAATATCCGACACATGGTTTCTCAAGCAGTCCAGCTCTTACCCAGAAGCATGAAATCTTTATGAGTAAAGACACGATCACTGTAAAGACATGATCACTGTTCTTTCCTACTTCCTTTTCGTGTGCTTGCAATCATGGATACTTCCGGATCATAGGACACGCATAGACAGGGGCCTTCCTGATACCAATGAGAATAAAGTTCAAGTCCCAGCTTCCTTACCTTCCCCCAGCTACACCCACCCAGAACTAACCCTTAAAAAAACCCTTTCTCCTGTTGCGGGTGAATTCTTTCAGGCCCATTTCAAACACCAAACAACCAAAAACTTACATTTGCAAGTGGAAGTTGTGAAAGGGGTGAGGCAACCCAGCTCTTTCCTTGGCGGTTATTCCACATAACCGGGGAAACAGCTCGAATTCTGACAGGGGGTTTAGCAATACGCGGAGAGCAGCGATCCTCTGCCTCCCCCCTGAAGGCTGTAGCTTCCCCTGACCCCCGCGTCCCATCCCGGGTTTCCCCTCTTTTCCCAGGTTGGAGGGAAACGCAGTGACCTCGCAGGGTTAGTGCGCTCGCCATGACAACCACCATTGATACAAGTGGGACATTTGGTGTGCTATTTCTGATACAGCCATGAAAGAAAGACAAGTTGCTTCGGCTGCCAGGCTCATGACACTGCTCTGTCACCCTGTAGCACACCAGCTTCAGATCCACGGGCTGGAGAATGGAGTCACCTGCCTGCCTAAAAAACTGAGAAAAACCTGTTCATTGGATGACATGGTTAATTTCGTTGTCACCAGAGCCTTACTCTGTTTGTGGGCATGGTGTTCCCAAAGGCAGAATCGTGTTAAAAACTGTTGATGTGTATGAGCTGGGTTATATATTTGCCCACTTAGGCCTTTAATAACCCAGGGAGGCAGGTCTCTTTGAAATACCCATTTCACAGATGATAGAACTGAGGCACAGAGCAGCTGAACAGAAGCCCAGGTTTTTATGGGTGGTGAACTGCCCAGGTGAGATATTCAGGCAGGTAATCTGGCTCAGGAATGGCATGTGTATCCACTGATGCGGACCCCGGCTGGTGGGGTCCACGTCATTATGGATGAATATGAGACAAATTCACAGGGACTACCAAGTCCTGTGGAGGAAAAGGGACGGCACAGCTTTTCTCTCAAGAGGAGAAAAAGCATTGTCTCTCATTCCAAAGAGCTTTTATTGTCTTACTGGGCACATTACAAGAAGGTCCTCATTAGCTATGCACAGGCTCGCTTTAGGTGGTTACCTTACACAGAAAACAAAGGAGAAGATGCTGGTAATCACATCACAGAAGAGGGATATTTGCAAATGAAAAGGCGAAAGTAGTTGAACCTCTTACACTCATCCTTGAAAGGTTTAGCATGGTTTTTAGGAAGTTGCTTTGCAGTAAACATCCTCAATTCAGGGTGAGGGAGTTTGAGCAAAAAGCAAGACTCATAGGGGCCTAGGTACATTGCAGTCCTGATTCCCCACGGGAGAACCTATCCGTGGGCATGGGTCCTGTGCATCTCCCAGTGGGAGCTGGGCCCACGCCACGCAGAGCAGCCTCCCGCAATCCACTACCCACACTATGTTGAGCAGACCTGGGGCTTAGATGAGGCATTCCCTTGTGTTTCCGTGAAGAAAACTCCTTTCTTCAGCACTTGCCATGGAGAACATGTCTTCGCACAGGATCCGAAATGGGCAGACAAGGGTCAAGTACTAAGCCCCCGCTTCTCCTTTGGGCCCAATATTTACCAGGAGAGGTGAGAGGTGGCCTAGCTTTCAGTCCCCCTTTTAGGGTTCCCTCTAGAGGCAGCCGTGAGCAATGTGTGGTGATGGAATGGGTCCCCCCACCCCGAGCTCAGAGAGAGAATCAGACTGTGCCTAAGCCTCCCGCTCCCCACACAGCTCTGTCCAGCTGGGGTGCAGGAGGAATGAATGACTCTGAGAGGGAAGGGAACGGAGCAGGACATTGTTTTCCCCCAGAGCACACTGTGCCCGAGGCCGGGCTGGGGCCGGGCTGCCACTGCGGGTCTCCGGCCCACACCCCACGGGGGTAGCGACGTCTGTCCCGTGGACTGACTTTTCGAGACAGCGTTCATGGAGCATAAGGCTCGCCTTTAAACAATGCACAACTCCCTGTTTTCTAGTATATTCACAAGGCTGTGCAAGCATCACCAGGATCTAATCCCAGGATGATTTTATCAGTCTTCACAGAAACCCCGCACGCAGTTGTCCTCCCAGATCTATGAATTCATCTATTCTGGACATTTTATACAAATTGCATAGTATGTGGCCTTTTGGATCCGGCTGCTTTCATTTAGTATATTTTCAGGGGCCACCCACGTCATAGCATGTATTAGTGCTCCTTTTCTTTTTATGGCTAAATAATATTCCTTTGTAGAATATAACACAATTTTTTTTAACCATTCATGAATCAATGGGCATTTTTGTTGTGTCCACATTTTGGACATTGTGAATAATGCTCATATGAGCTCTTGTGTACAAATTTCCTTGTTTATGTTCTTTTTAGAAAGTGAGATATAACTGATACATAACCTTGCCCTAGTTTTAGGTAATCGCACACAAAGGTTTGCTATATGTATGCATTGCAAAATGGCTGTTGTCACCGGAGGGGCAGGGCCGGCTGCGGTGTGTGGGTTCTCGACTTCGTGTAGGAAAGATTTCACAACACGAGTCCAGGTGGTTTTGAGACTACGTTCTTTAAAGCTGGGGGCAGTGAGCAAAGGAAGGGCTTAGCATCGAAGAGACAATGGGAGATAGCCTGGCCGGGTCTGCTTTGCTCTCTAGAAATGTTGTACGGGAGAGGCGAGCCAAGGCAGGGCTGCTATTACCTCCCTGGGACGTTGGAGGAAAGGGGGACTTAGACAGGTGGAAGGGGATTAGCCCGGGAAGAGCTGCAGCTGCCCACTGCTCCCCTTGTTGCAAGTCTCAAGTGTAAGAGAAGGAAAATTCACTCTAATTGGAGATCAGAGTGGGTGTGCCCTAGGGAGGGCGAAATGCTGGCTTTTTTCTCTTGACCGATTTTATCTGCTTTCCAAAGGAGGGGATTTTCGGGCAGGTCTCAGGGGAGATCGCAGTAGAATAGTCATCAGCTTTCCCAGCTGTGTCCTTTCAGGGTCGTGGTCTCTGCTGATTGGTCAGCTGGGGGTCAGGGGGCGGTCACTAGGCATCACCGCTGGTCCTGGCATTGCCCTCCTGGTTTTACTGCCTTTCTGCTCCTGGAGCTGAAGTAATAGCTGAGGCCTGGATGTTATCTCCAGGGAGGAAAGGTCGAGGGAGAGTCGGAACTGCACGACCCGTGTTATGAAAGGTCAGGGGCTCTACACCACATGACCAGCAATACGCCAGGGGAGGACCAGCCACCCTGGGAGTGAGGTCAGACACCAGTTTTGCCCCTTGCTAAGCATCTGGGGCCTTCCACCCTGGTGACCTGTATCTGGCAGTGAATTGCCTGACCAGTGTGTTTAGCTATCTGTCTCAGTTTCCCCATCCCCCTCGCCAAGGAATTTTCCCAGCTCCCTACTCCCCTGCCTCAAATGCCACAATAAATTTAGTTAACATCCATTACCACAGAGTTATAATTTTTTCTTGTAATGGGGACTTTTAAGATGTACTCTCTTAGCAAATATACTGTGTGGTGTTATTATTAACTGTACTCATCATGCTGTCCATTAAATCTCAGGTCCGGTCTGGTTCTTTCTTTCTTTCTTTCTTTCTTTCTTTCTTTCTTTCTTTCTTTCTTTCTTTCTTTCTTTCTTTCTTTCTTTCTTTCTTTCTTTCTTTCTTTCTTTCTTTCTTTCTTTCTTTCTTTCTTTCCTTCCTTCCTTCCTTCCTTCCTTCCTTCCTTCCTTCCTTCCTTCCTTCCTTCCTTCCTTCCTTCCTCTCTCCCTCTCTCTCCCTCTCTCTCCCTCTCTCTCTCTCTCTCTCCCTCTCTCTCTCTCTCTCTCTCGCAGAACAACTGTTTGATGAAACATCAAGAGATGGCAGGGAGAAAAGAGTTGGGGACACTTCTTTCTGAGGTCAGACTACTGAGTTACACAGAGTTAAACAAGCTCTTTCATTACCGGACTCCTCTGAGCCCTCCCATCCTGATGTTTCTTATACCTTTCCAAGAAGGAGATAAGGCATGTGGAACTTTCCAAATGTTTCCCACGTTTTACAAAATTTAATTTATTAGGCTAGCGGTCCCTGGGACACATTCAGGAAGCACTGGTTCTGACAGGGTTTTATTTTGCTTATACCTGGGGGGTTATACCTGTGGCCGCCGTCACCCCTTTGCCCACCCCTATGCCCCACCTGTGGCAACTTCAATTGGTTCCCCGTTATCTCTGAGTTTGGGTTTTGAAATATTTATTTATTTATTTATTTATTTATTTTAAAAATTGTCATGATTACCTGATGCCGTCCGTGTGATCATAGCGCGGGACTGCCTTGCAGCCCCACCAGAGTGGGGTGGGAATGCGCACGAGGGTCCTGGTCTTTCTTCCTCCCTCCGACACCCGTGCCCGCTGTGGCTTCCTCAGGCGGCAGCCGTGAGCGGGTCTCTAGCCCCAGCACACCAGGGATGCCGCCATGGCGACAGCGTGGCCAGACCTTGAGGGTGTTAAGTGAAAAAGGGCTCTCAGAGAAAGACAAGCACCATGTGATCTCACTTATATGTGGAATCTAGAGAACACTACGAATGAACAAACGAAACAGAAACGGACTCACATAGACACGGAGGACAGACCGATGGTTGCCAGAGGGGAGGAGGTTTAGGGAACTGGGTAAAAAAGTGAGGAATTGAGACATACAGACTGGCAGTTAAAAACACGGAGATGTGAAGTACAGCACAGGGAATATAGTCAATAATATTATAATAACTAGGTATGGGGCCA